ACTCCAGTGATAAAACGCATGCAATTGGTATTTAACGTATCTGGATTTTGGGTTTAACTACATTAATTGCACGTTAAATAATAAAACCTCCACTCTTCAATTTGGCCAGTTGGAAGTTTTTAGATGAAGTGCACCATAGCGTGGGGGGATGCTGTGGATGGAATTATTGTGGAGAGTACCTAAGGGCCGTGCAGGGTGTAAACTATGCATGGGTTGCACATTGCAGCAATTATAACGATCAACACTACGAGGAAGTCATAATGACATGAGGGGCCACTGTAGACTTCTACATGTGGATACCCCAATTTGCAGTCTCAAGCCCACAACCACTTGCAGAGAAGGGCTCCTACCCTCGCAGCCTTCAGCTGATGTTGTAAAACATAATGCATTCTACTACGTAGGATAGCTACGCTACACAAGATTTCGTGCCAAAACAGCGCAATAAGACCAGAACGATCACATTGATTTGGAGCTGCGTCGGCCTGTGGCGTACGATTAATTTCGGCCTACGCCACAAGCCGCAAAGTTTCGTCGAGGGCGACTGGTGGCTTGAAGCACACTGTGCACGATTGAATCGTGGCCACCAGGCTTCAATTGCAACACCTTATGGCTGAGTCGTTGTAAGCTTACTCATTCACTGGGTGCTGTTGAATGCAGCAGGACTATGCCGCTACCCTATATTTAGACCAGCTATTACCATCGTCAACAAAGCCACCGACAATAGATTGACATTTGACACCCTCAACTTCCCAGGACATGACTGAAATTGGGATACAGTACCTCCGCAAGCATTATAACTTGAAAACAGTTTACCACATGATCGGTTATATTCCACGCCGACTTTCTCGAGATATATGTAACTTTGACCGTGACGGGATCGTGAATATTGATGGGTTTCTGCAATTATGCGATCAATAATGTTCATGATGTGTTTTCGGCCGGCTCAGCCCTGGTACGATTATACTAAGAGTTAGTATGACTAAACCCCGTAGTAATAACAGGAACTATTAACGTACTGTAGTACTATCAATTAAAGGTACTGCAGGCAACCTGACGTCGACGTACTCGGAGTAGTAGTTATACGTACAGTTTCCACGTCACTTTTTATGGTGTAGGGCCGTAAGCAGCAAATATGTGTTGCTTCGATCGTCGGATCCTTTTTCCTTGCACTTCTTTATAGTGATTTCGCTCCATGTATCACTTCTTTATCTACTCAATAAGCTGCAGCAACGACTGCACGAGGGCAACTCCAAAGCCCGTGCCTCGCTCTTGGTCTACGACTGGGAATGCCATGTCCACATGTCCCCACAGCCCCGTCTGTTCAAACTCGAGGCCCAAATGGTTAGCAATAAACTGACCGGCGCAGCTCACTTGGGCGTTCATTCGCGTGGCGGGGATGTTCTTCATGTCTGCGACATTGCTCTTGAACTCTTGGCGAAAAAACTCGGGGACGTACGGCATCGCATGGACAAAATCGCCCGAGGCCCGTCCCGATGCAACCACCCACGCCTCCAGTTTGGCGCTATTGGACACCACAGCTGCATGCTTAGCGCCAGTGGCGATCCCCTGCGCACCCGTGAGTGTGGCCATGTCGAGAATCACATGCGGATTCAAATGCTTGGCGGCATATGCGACACCGTCACCGAGCACCAGCCGGCCCTCGGCGTCCGTGTTGTTGATCTCGACTGTCTTGCCAGAGTACAACGTGTGGATGTCATCGGGGCGGGTGGCGAGGGGACCCACAGCGTTCTCGGCGAGGCAGAGCACCACATGCAGCGGCCGAGACGACGTGCCGGCGAGCACGGCGGCTTCAAACGCGCCGAGGAGCCCCGCCGCGCCACCCATGTCGAACTTCATGCCCACCATAAACGCAGACGTTTTCAAACTCAGCCCCCCCGTGTCGTACACGATGCCCTTGCCGACCAACGCGACGCTCTTGTCCGATTTCGAAGACGACGACGGGTAGTGGCTAAGCACGACGAGCGCCGGCGGGTTTGCCGCCGCTTTGCCGACGCCGTAAATGCCGCCAAACCCTTGCGTGTTGAGGTCCTCGCCCTGGATCACGGTGATCTCGGCATGGACGCGCGCCGCGACCGCCTTGGCTTCCGCGACAAACGTGTCCGTGTTGAGCTGGTTGGGCGGCGAGTCCACGAGGCGCTGGGTCAAGTGGATGCCCGTCGCGGTCGCGTTGAGGAGCGACAACGTGGATGTGTCCACGGCGTGATCGAACACGACGACAACTTGGTCCTCAGTGACGGCCGTGGCCGCGCCGTCGGTGATGACGCCGCTCGGACCGGATTTGGTGGTGCTCTTGCTGTTGTAGTAGGTAGATATCCCCTTGGCGACGGCAACGCCGCCCGTCCATGAGGTGGTGGCGGGGTCAGGGAGGGATAGACCGACCACAAACGACGTCGACGAGTCATTCGCGTGCGAGCGGACGAGGGAGCTGATCGCATGGGGACGCGCAAGCACGTTGTGACGAGACACGGCAGTCGGGAGCTGTGCGACGACGACACTTACGAGGACAGAGTCGCTCAGAGGGAGGTACACGTGCGTCGACGCGGCGTTGTCGGTTCCAGCGATCAGCGACGCAATGGCGTGCGTTAGGAGCGAGATCGTAGATGACGGCGGGGTCGTGCCATGGTTTAAGTGGGTGAGGATTCTTTGCGCGAGGGTCAAGCCGTTGGTTTCCTTGGTGCCAATGACAAGCACCTTGGCGGCGGTGGTCACAGGTACGTCGGCCACACTTCCAACGTATCGGACCATGCTTTTTGCTATTATAGCAGTTGTGTGGGGTCGACAGTCCACCAATCACGAGGACTAAATGGTTTAATTATAGCCAATGGCATTTGTCCATCAACTCTGGAAACACGTGCGTGTATCGTTCTATTGTTACATACAAGTCTAAAGTAGGAAACGATAGGAATATAAATATGATGCGGATAAGTCGATCAAGGTGCGTGTTCGTAGAAAGGTTGTACGTACAGTCGCACAGAATGGAGCTGGAAGGGTTGGTAACTGCGCTAGTCCAGACGTTCTGCTCGCGCTTTGTCAAGGACTTCGAAACGGAGTTCATTCCACCTGTCAGGCTGGTGGTAATCACTCGGGTATATAACGAGTACTAGTACTAGTAGGTGGTTAGTAGATGATGGTGTTCTTGGAACTATGTACTGTATCGTGGAGGTTGATTCAATTCAATATGACTGTTGTGCTGAATGAAAACGTTGGGCCTTACGACGACTATCACCAATGCATCCCGTTGTACTGTGGCGACATTGCCATAGGAGTTATGGCAGTGCTTTCTTCGGCATTTAAACTGGGAGTGGACTACATAGATATAGATAGAGCTACCGTTAGCCGAGATCACCCACTTAGTTGCAGGGCGAGTGTCGGTGGCACTGCTGCGCATCGAAACGGTCAAACGAGTAGGGTTATACTTGACACTAGTCCATCCCCAACGCACCCTCAGCATCGAGTTCAGCGATATGAGCATTCGACAGCTCGTGCAAAGAGCCCTCGCAGATCTTTTAATGGCTTGTGCCTTGACAGGGCTCGGAGCTAACGTTACCACGATAACAAATAACACATGTGAGATACGATGTCTAGTTTGTTGGCAAGTTGTACCAGCAATATGCCTTGCGAAAGCGATATGTGAAGTGTATAACATGTTTGGGCGACGAGGTTTGGACTCTAAACATGGCAGGTATCAGTATTTTCTCGGACGAAGTAAGGTTGCCAGTCATCGCTTCTATTATATAAAAACATGAAGCTGTTGAAAGTGCCTTCGACCCCAACGTCTCCCATGGTCATTCGGTACTTTGGTTTCGAGATCATCTTAAGAATACAACGGCTGGGTCGACGTTTTTGCAGAAGATGCTTGAGAAACATCCGTGCAACTTGTTGGGTTTTGAATTGGTCACGATGGTCCTGAAATACCGATATGTATGGCCATGCTTCGAACAACACGACTCCTCATGGACAAGTGAAGGATTTGATTTGCATTTGGACAATAACTAGCACAGATGAGGGAAATAAAATTCTGGGCAAAAGTGCTGGCAACCACTACAGACGACCAACTAACTAGGTTACGTTGATGGGGCCACTCCAACAAAAATCCAAATCCCAGTCAAGGGAAGTACCCGCACTGCACCTAAAGTCGTGTTGGGTTGTACTACAGTAGTTAGTAGCCACGTACACTGACTGTGAACTTCTGTACCTGTACGTACATGCGGGCGGATGCATGCAATATGACGCAATATGACTGCGATCTAAAGTTGGTTTTGTTTTGATCGTCGCCGCTAAAGGACACGGTTCACAGTCAAACACACACACAATACAGTGTACTGGCACGAAACTATAATTCGGACGACATTTTGCAAGCAAATTGATTCGATTACTAGTACCATTACGTATACGATAAGAATGACAAGGTCTCATTTGGTATCAAGCAGGCTAGCGTTAGGATATAAATCCACTTCATCACATCCTGTATAAAACGACGTTCGTGCCGTGAATGCTTCAGTCGAACACTGGATTTTTATCGTGGATTGTCTTTCAGGTTGGACTATTATTGTCCACTCGACCTGCCTGACATGCCAACAGAACTTGGCCAGTACAGCCAATAATACATCAGTCACGTTAGGATTTCCACAAGGTCCCTACGTGTATGATCAAGTTGGAGCGAACAACAACCCCTTGGCCATCCATTCATAAAACATGAAGTCCAATCTTAGCGTTGCTTACATGTCGCTCTTCTGCGTAATCTCCCTACTTTGATTCAGCGGAACTGTGCGACAATAATATGTTGATTTGACCGTGCGTTAGCTCACTTTTGGATTTGCCATGGCCCAACGCAACCTAGCTCTGCAAGAACGCGTGTCGTACGTCGTGTCTGTAACCAAGCATGCCGACGACGACCCCAACGACCTGGACGGGTACAAGGGTGAGAGAGCTACCCCTCTTGACCTGGAAGACGGCGCCCTTCGTGAAGGGGGTGCGTTAAACTACACATCCCCTGCCGTTCTCGTGTTGCTGTTTCAATACGCGGTCGTGGGGATCTGTCTCGGGGGCATCTCTGGCATCAAGTTGCCGGTGCTCACCAACTACTTTGGGATGGAATCTGCTGCCATCAACTCGGCCACGGGACTCATGAGTTTGGGGTGGTCGTTCAAGGTGGTCTATGGCATGCTCTCGGATTGTTTCCCCATTACGGGGTACAGCCGCAAGCCGTACATTCTGCTCGGGTATACTCTCACTTCTCTTTGCTTTATCGTCATTGCGTTGAAACCTGCGGGGGACGCCGTGGGTGCTAACAGTTCCCCCGACGACGTCAAGACCACCCAGTCGCACGGGTCGCTCCTCGCCCTTCTTTGCGCCGTTGCATGCTTTTGCTACATCATGGCCGACGTTGCCTGCGATGCCATGGTGGTAGAATACGCCCAGCGCGAACCCGACAATGTCCGCGGTCGCTTGCAATCGTCAGCCTACGCCACTCGCTACATCTTCAACGCGCTTATAACCGCCGTGAGCGGGTTCCTCTTGAACTCGAAGCGGTATGGTGGCACGTTTTCGTTTGAGATCAGCGTGAACGCGTTTTTTTGGGTCCTTGCCGTGCCTTGTGTCCTCAACGTGCTCTTAGTGTTTCGCTTCATGAAAGACCGCAAGCGCCGCGCCATTCGCTTTGCCACGTACTTTGCCGAAGTGTTCCAACTCATCCAACAACGCGCCGTGCTGCAAGTGATGGGGTTCAACTTTATGTTCAACCTGTTCTCGTCCGGCATTACGTCACTCGCCGGCAGCTACATTCAAGTGTACTGGGCGCACGTGGAACCGGTCAATAGCTCCATCGCCACCGTACTCACGTACTTGTTGTTCTCGGCCACACTGTTTGCTGTGGGCAAGTGGGGGACCAACTGGAACTGGCGCTTCATCTTGATCATCACGACGTTGTCTGCCAGTGCCATCGATGCCATCGCGCAGTTCCTCACGATCTACAACATTGTACGCAGCCAGTGGTTCTACCTTGGCATCCCCCTCACAGAATACATCCCCATCGGCATCCAATTCGTCGTCGGCACCTTCGTCATTGTCGAGCTTGCCGGTGACGGAAACGAAGGGCTGACCTACGGCCTGCTCACGACCGTGTCCAACCTACCGTTGGTGTTTGGAACAATGGTCACCAACGTGTACTCAACCCAGCTCAAAGTGGCCAAGGCAGACATCAAGACGGACACACCAGACGTTCGCAACGACGCCGCCTACTCGTACTTGATTGTGTACGCCACAACTGTCATTGCGTGCTGCTGGACGTTGATCCTGCCGCCGCAAAAGGCCGCCGTGAAAGAATTACTCCGAAACGGGGGCAGATACCCAATGGCCGGCGCGTTCATGGTTACCGCGATCTTTGTCGTCCTTTGCATTTCCGTTACGTCGATCTTGTTGTCCATGTTTGAATCCACGTCGTGTTACCTCTTGGCCGGCGGCTCGGGGTGCTAAATACCGCCGAAGAACGTGCCAACTGTCCGAGTTCGAGTCATAAGAAATATACTACCCCCAGTACAACTTTTGCTGTCGAGTTATATACTAGTAACGTTATTCACGCTTGCTTTGCTCGTGATGCGTTGAAGATTGGTCGATCTGAATCACTAACGGATCGAAAGGTAGTCCCGGGTACTACCGGTACGTTTTAGTAAGCCATGTTGTTGAACTGATTGACTATACAATAGCTTCCTTCGGCCACATATTTGTTCGCAAATACGCCTGTCGCGGTTGAGAGACGAGTGAAACCAGTGATACGTAGCTATTGAATGGTCTAATTTCCCTTGAGAGTGATATTCCACCGCGTGTGCGAGCTGTAGGTGCTCAGCTGCTGTCATTGTAAACGTGAAGTCAATAGCAACATGAATGTACGGTTTTAACGATGTTAAGTGGATTTTGTGAGGCTCGCGGGTCTTTGATTCCTAAAATCTGTATACAAAACCAGAGCAACTGTATACTGTATACTGTTATTAATAATACTTCGAAGTACAGTATTGCGGAAAAACGCAGCCAGTGACACTGTTATTGTCACTTAAAAATTGTATGTACTACAAATCTAGTCCGGATGGCTCGATAGCAGATTTATCCGGACGAACCTTGAAGGTCGTTTCATACCCAGGTTTCCACTTTTGAAAGATTGTCACTCGTGGCACCGCCCACAAAGCGATACCAATCCGAATGCCAGGGTCGCGCGTGAGGTCAATGCAGCTCCTTGTGGTGACTTTGCTCGTCATTACGTGTGCCCAGCAAGTACCCACCGCCGATGTGATTGTCTCAAGTGATGGAGGCACCGTCCATACACAGCCGCCGGCGACGACCGCTGCGGCATCGACCAGTTGGGATGTGGGAGGACCGATAGTGTACGTGACCGCTGGTACTGCCTTGGGGTGCACGCTGTTGTTTCTTATTTGGCGGCGCTTGAAACGAAATGCTCAAGTGAGTGCCGAACAAGACGGCATGTACAAAGAAATTGGACATTTGCACACGTAATACAGAGAGCGCACCGTACACCAGCATGCGTGGCAAACAACATTCGATTCAGAGCGTATATAGATAGAACGTTGCGACGTCTTTGATGCGGTTGTGAATGTCAACCCAATGATAACAACATGAGGCAGCTCCGTTTTCAAGCTCACTTTGCAATGCTGTTTCAGAGTGGTTTCATGCTTGTAACCGCTATCACTGCACATATCACCAACGGAACGACGACGTCGCGTATGAACGTGACAAATCTGTTGCATGTCGAGTCCAACTCATTGGAGACGCTGCTTCAGAACCTCGTCACGAGGTTGAACGACGTCGAAGGATCCATCCCTAGTCACCCTGCCTTCACCAGTGGGTTTAGCAACTATTCAACGTTTGCATTCTATTTGCATTAAAACGCGACAATGCGCAGGTCTAGCCGACCGATTGGCCCTCGTCGAATCCAGTGTGTTTGCATCGTCAACCACAGACGTGGTGGCATCAACTCCATTGTCCGGAACAACTTCGTCCACAACGCCGGTGGCTTGCACCACCACCACAGCGGCCTCGTCCTTCTTGCACCATTTGGACGACCTACGCGCCCATCAGATGAAGCTCCGACTCGACCACGACGTGCATATTGCCACGTACTGCACCAATCATTTGACTGCATGGACGCTACATTTCAGCAATATATATATGTCTTTCCGTGATCAACCCCATCCAGAAAATATATTTATATACATAATTCTTGTTGCAGGCTGCAGTTGGAGCTCGAAAAGCAAAAACGAGCTGTCGCGGCACTCCCGTCGTCGGCCGATTCCGACTTGCTGCGCCAAAGCATATTAGCCGAGGTACAATACATTACTTGCCAATATCTCCATATATATTTAGCGTTATATGTCACTATATTTCAAGTGAATGCCAAGTTTGAAGTATTGCGGTTGTAGGCAGCGCAACTCGTTCACGCCGTCGACACGAAAGTAACTCAAGTTGAGCGAGTGGTGGACGAGAAAATCGCCGCGCAGGCCACCACAGAAGCCCAAGTAAGCCACCATTTAGCAGTAGTATATATATTTTGTGGAAATAGACGGCGACTTTGCACGAACTCGCTATTTTTAATAGTATCATACATCTGGTTAATACATGACTGCCCTTGTCCGCAGTGGAAAGCCACTTTCGAAGCGACGACAATGGCGCGAATTGACGGCATCTTCAACGCCATCCACGACAACTCGACCACAATCACCAACGTCGTGACCGTGTACGTCCTCCTCTCGGACAAGAAACATAAAAATAAATTAAAACATATATTGTGCTTTCGAGTGAAATTTCGTGTTGTGGCGTGGATTCTCGTTGGAATTTGAATCGATTTGATTGGCTACCTCAGATGAGTTCAAAATTATTAGCCAATCAAAACCCTCTCAATGAAACCAACCAATCAGATCGATTGTGGATCGGTTTGGTCGGCGCAATTCGATTGCACCCCCTCCCCAAATTTGTATCAAATCGACAATATATATATATATATATATTCTTCATGTCCAAACCTACACCCTGATCCAACACTCGTGATTCCCATAGAACCGAGAACCGCATCAAGATGCAGCAAAATTCAATCGACGTGATGGAAGACACTGTCGCGTTTCTTCGAGATAAAGTCACCGCGATAGATAATGCCGGCGCCGACCTCGCCAAGCGCGTGCACTCGCTGGACGACGCCGCGGCCAGCACCCACGCCAAGCTGCTCCAGTTGCGCGCAACCGTGGATTCGCGAGATTCAGACTACCACAGCACGTTTCAGGGGTTGGCACTGGGGCAGCAGCAGCTCAAGGGGGCGCTAGCGGACCACCAACAGGCCTTGGCAAAGCATCAAGATGTTACTGCGAATTCAGGTGTGTGTGACTATATTTATATCGTATTTTGCAGTGTTTGGAGACGTATCTACTTGAAGTGTGTTTGTTGCCTACAAATGCATGTGCAAATGGTGTGATGTCGACGACATATTCCAAGTGGTTGAGCGTTATATATTCTACAGTAGTATGCACGAGAATACGATACGTCCATGATAACGGCATTGTATTTTGGCTATAGAATGGACGTATATAATATATATATATGTATTCTGTATGGGCGGCAAAGATATGACGAATTGTCCATCACGACATGCATTGTGTTTGTGTTTGGCTGTGTAAAAAGTCATAGTATATTTAAAATGCCAAGCAAACATAATGGAACGAGGCCTAATTAATTTGAATCTGGGGCAGTGGCGGAGCTGCAGTGGAAGACGGGGGATGTCACTTCCCGAGTGGACACACACGATCGGCGACTGGATGTCGTGGACGCCGACGTCGCGGGCGTATCGACGCGGCAGCAGGACGCGGCGCACGTCGTCGCGTCACTCGACACGCGCCTGGACATGCTCGCCAACCAGCACGTGAAGGCGCAGAATTTGCATCTCAAGCTGGACGCGGCTGTCAGTGGCATGGACAAGGAGTTGCGGCGGCGACTGGACGACGCCGAAAAGGCATTTGACGGACTCAACCTCGACTGTACTATCATAAAACAAACGATTAAGCCATCCAACGAATTTATATGGAACGAACCAACGATATGATCGAACTGAGTGCATGAATGACTAGGCGCGACGTTTCGACGGCAAGTGGGCGAAGTGCAGTGGGCGCAGGGGGAGACCAACAAGATGGTGGAGGTGGAATGCAAGGAACTGGCGCGGTCTGTGCACGCCGTGCACGGGGAAATGCGCGACGTGGCGTCGAATTTGCCAAAGTTTCATGTACGAGAGATGTTAAATAGTTCTCTATAGAACGTTGTTATATATATATACCACGCTCCATGGTCGAAAATATGGATGGGAAATGATATATATATAGATATAAATCCACTTTTCACGTATATAATATATATATATATATATGTATTTGGGTGTTGGTTATTAGGTCGAACTGAGCCATACCAATGCCAACGTGGCCAACGTGCGCCTAGAAATGCGCGATATTCGAAGCGACCACGCCTCGACCCACGAGGTTCGTACAGTCCATTCAAACACCTGTATTCGTAATAAAAAAGAAATATATTCATATTATACTACATGTATGTAGACGATTGCCGCGATTTCGAATCGCTTGAGTGATCTCCGGTCCACCAGCACAGCCCAATTCGAACGGTACGAGGGGTGTGTTGAATGTATACAAATTTGAAGATATATATATATTTAAAAAAATATTTTTTCGCCGTGAAGATCACTAGAGACGACTGTCAATATATATATATATTGCGACAGTCGTCGAAATTCCATGTTGACATGTTTTGTGACGTGGCAGCGCTAAAACCCAGCACGACGAGCTAGACCAAGGGTTCAAAGAAACGTCGATCGTCCTCGAGCGCGTGGTAGCAAGACTCGAAACAGAGCACAAGTACATACCATGCTGCATACCTGGATTACATATGTCGTCGGTTTTATTATTTCCGTGTGTCGAATACATACCTGTCACGTGTTGCGAATAGATATACGCAAATCAACTTGCAGGAGCTGAAAAAGATGCTCGACGGGCTGCAACACGTCGAGTTGAATGACTCGGAGGCCGTGGATAAGCAGCTAAATGCGCTGGCGCTGTCGATCGCCCAAATCGATTTGAAGCAAGAGCATTTTCGGTACTCACAGCTCCATCTTCTCGACATATTCGCAGAACCAAATATCTACCACATATATATATATTGTGCTTTCAGCCACAAGGTGAAGATTCTTGTGCTGATTCACGAAATCCATCTATTAGACTAATTTTTGAACTGACATATTGTCTGGAAAAAGCGTCATACTAATATAAGTCACACACTAAATTCAATGTTGAATGGTTGATGAGACCACTTGACTAGTGTGGTGGATTTTGATTCGTCGATCGATCGATTGTCTGCCGATTTGGTTATTGACGTGAGCACTCCAATATCGAGTCGAATCGACAAAATACTATGTACATGAATGATATAACATAAAAATACTGGATATTGGGGCGGTAGGTCCCATAGCACGTCGTTCCCGGAAGACCTTAAGAACGACCTCTCAGGTCTGCTGCTCCGCGCCGGCCGCCTCATTTCCGGCTCCATCCGATGTCAATTGCACTTCAAACTGCTCACAGACGACGGGGCAAATGTGGACGAAGCCGCCATTTTGCATGGCTTGCGCATGGCAGCGGCGGCGTCGTTTGCGAAAAAGGTGGCTGTTTTCTGTTTGAATTAAATATGGATCTCTCCATAGTAGCTATAATATGCATCAACACTAGTTCACTGTCATATATATATAAATATTTATTCGTTTAGCCCATAAGTACATATATAATATATATATATATATCGATAGCCAACGTGATGATGGCACATTCGTGTCTTGGTGATGATTACTGTACCGTTTCATGTATTTGCATGAAACGGTAGATTTATTACACTTCAACTTTTCTACGTGAGCAATGTTGTTGCTTTTAGTTTTTATTTATATTTTATTAATATTCGAAGTGAATGATACCAACTTACTTTTATTGACCAAAGCATGACGCTGATATGGTTAAGATATGGCTTTTGACAGTTTTGATGATCTCGTGTGGCTATTGAAAGCACCGATTGTGACGTTTTTTCAATAACGTTAAGGTTTGTTTTGTATCGTAGGTCCATCAGTTAGTCGACAAGTTGTCACCACCGACCGATGCCAAGTACTCGGTGCAAGCCCGCGACATCTTTGAACGGCGGCTGCGCGTGTGCCTCGAGTGTCGGTTTAAAGGTACTGTACGTTATGGTGATAAAACACAAAGTTTATAAAGCGATAGACCACCATAGTACACCACATACGAATGGGATCAACTAACCAACTATTATTGTCTAGACGGAATGGCAGCGAGCAGTATATTGGACGGGAAACCGCTTGGAAAACATCGACCCAGTACTGCCACGTGTATCTCTTGTGACCGGCCCATTTACGACGCACCCCCCCCCTTTACCCACCATCCAACCTCTTCCCCACGGTATAGGCCACACAAGTGAAATGACTCATTCACTTGTGACACTGTTAGAGACGGCACCCCCAACCAGCACGACAACCACGACTTGGGCCCCAAGAAAGGCCTGAAAACCAACCCTATTGATACAAGAACAGTCATCCCGAGGCGGTCGGGGCACACAAACGTCCCCCAAAAAGCCAATGCCGAGCCCATCCATGTACACCCCCACACAAAAGAAAAGTTCGTGTATCGAGGGGGGTTTCGCCTGCCGAAAAATGGCAGCAAACCCTCTACCGATGGGATAGAAGCACCTGTGGACCTGAACGACCACCCGTGCTTGGAAAAGGTGGCACTGGTGGGGACATTTCAAGTACGTGACGAATATGGGGTGTGATGTGGCACCACGACAGACTAAAGCGATTGCTGTGTAGGGCGACGTGATTGGACCGTCACCACTCAAGCGCCCGCAGACCGCCCCGCACTCAAAATCCCTCCCCCGACTTCCCCCCGCATCCCTACTAACTAGCCACCACACGATCCCTGGATCGTCTTAAAGTATCGTCAAAGCTCAGACTTCGAAGAATCTTTCCAATACTGCCGTCTTGTATTGGGTGTTCGACTCATACTTTCCTCCGCCCAACAATCGCCAGACCTGCGAAATATAATATATATATCCAATTGTACGTCTGTGTGAATATTGGTTCGCTTTAGCCAATCACGCTACAACCTTGATTCTTTTTTAGCCAATAATACTGTTTTCTTCGATTCTGCGTGAATTGAATGCTGTTAAAAACAATTCCGTTGAAATGTGTGGATTACTTATACACGCAAAGGTACGTAAATGGAGGAAAATGCTATCAACTTGGGTGGGAATTAATATATGCAGCACTTTGCACGGGAATATCCATCCGCAGAATACACACTGCCGGTTGAACGACACGGTATACCAGTTTACTAGTAATCATTAAAATATATCGTCAAATAATACCTCTATATTCCATGCATTGAAAGCGATTACGGGCGCCTTCATGTCTTTTAAGACCGAACAAAGTATATAGTACTGTAGTAGGTTGCATTGGACAAACGAACAAGTAGGTCGCGGGTTGCCATTTTGTGTTAGGTTGTTAAGTGGACCTATCAAGGCGGGACAGTGTCGTCAACACCGCAAGTTTGCTCTAAATACGTGGCAATCTCCCATTGGCTCCTCTCTTTTGCCACATCCAGCGCCGTTTTAGCGGCTTTGTTCGGTCGTAATATGTACTTGGACGACGCTTCTACGATAGCTTGGACACAGGGCAGGTACCCCCCAACCACTGCAAAGTGCAGCGGCGTCTCGCCTATCGAAATACTTTTATATCTACAATATATATATATATATATATATATGGAACCTTCAGGGTCGGGATAGTCGATAAACTCGGCACATTCGCCCGCCAAGTACCGGACGCTGGCGTCGTCGCCAGCCATACAAGCATATGACAGCGCCATGCGACCGCAACCGTCCAGCGCTAGCAAATCGGCCTGGCCAGAAGCGAGGGCTTGCAATGTGTCGGCGGACGGCGCTATATGCACTGGTCGCATCCTACATTGAAATGGTCTTGATTACGAAAAAGGTCTAATTTTTATACTTACTTTGATTTGAATATATAGATATCGTACTACACTTATCAAGATTGCCATTGAATCTTTAAAACTAGAAATTATATATATATATGATATGTATATAGAAAATATGGATATCGAATTCTGAAGTGTACAAACTCTAGTATGATGGATCGAAACACGATGGGAATAGTTACGAGAATATACATACGATTCAGATCCATGAAACCACACATGCGGCCGGCGGAGCATGCATACTAATATATGAACACGTTAATAAAAACATATTGATATGCACACGATAACCCAGACCAGTCCATCCAATGTACGGATAGGACAGTTGTGTCCAATAAAGGTGGACAGCAAAACAACAACCTGCAGAAATGTGAACAAACATGAAGAATGAGAACCACGGGGTATCAAAACATCACTTAGTAGGTGGGTACCCCGAGTAGTTAATGGGTTCGGGGTTACATCCAGCTTGGAGGAGGAGAGCGATGGCAGCAAGGGCGCCGCCGCTCGTGGCCGCATGCAAGGGGGTGTCTCCGTTCGAGTCGATCGATTCCTTCAAGTTCGAGTAGTCCAGTGCCAGGAGCAGTTGGATGCACTCCACTTGGTTGGCATAGCACGCAAAAAACAACGGTGTGCGTCTATTATCACAGACAAGTGCATATTTCACAAACTTGAAATGTTATCCGTTAGTTCACTGGTACATACCCGAGCGTGTCGGCCACAAACACATCAAAGTACTCGCCCAAGTAGCGCAGACACGGATCGTGGCCGGCATACGCGGCGGCATGTGCGACGGTACTAAAGGCGGTGGCCCAGCACTCTTTGCACGGCAGCTCCGCTGGGTGGGTTTCTTCATATCTAGTGCAATAGAATCCTACTATGAAAGAACGAAAAAGGGGAACGAAAAAGGGGATATATACAGTATGTACATATAGATCGATATAGCGCCCTGCCATCGACAGGTATAACTATACTCGTACAATACATACACCAATATACTCTCATCCACTCATACTTCTGCAGTACTAGTACTATTTTACATATCCAGCCATAAAGAGAAAACGTGATAACTATCCCTTCATGTCGAATCAAAACTCGCTTTTCATATTGCCAAATCGATTCCAACCTGGCGCCCAAACGACAGACCATCCCAAAAGAATGGATTAATGAACCGCCTAAGCCAATCAAATCACGTTCTAGTGAATTTCAGCCAATCCAAACGTTTGACTCGACTCTGTCCCTCCACATTGGGCAAAACCATATATATACTAATCTTTGTATCGTATAGTTTGTACAAGCTTATATTGGATCAAATGTATTCGAATGCTGCATTTGGCGAAATGACTGACAAGTCCAAATTTGGGTGTATATATTGTATTTATTCTAAACTGGAGCGACATGGAGAATCATGAATCGACACAACCGGCAGAAGGGCTTAGCCAATCAGATTGTCGGAAACCATCATCAACGTCAAATTAGTGTGTGACTTCAATTAGTGTGATACCAATCACCACAGGACAACACTTAATATACAAAATTCAGTACAAAGAATCGATCGATAGGTTTGGCGATTCAGCACAAAAGTCCAAATTTTGGGTCAAAGGACAATATATTCTCATCAAAATGGCCTCATGCATACTAGTACATATTATCCTCGCTTGTAATCCTTAAAATCACGGTCATTTCAAACCGTTTTACATCCTGGCCAATAGTTGGAGAGAGTAGTTTCAACGTACTGCGCCCAATATGCTTCGTAGACCACGCAGTGCCACCCTATAAAGTCTACGCTGTCCAATGTCCACACCGTCACATGATGGGGCGTGGTCGCGACCACGACGGGAAACGTTTTGTACGCCATATCAGTGGGGTCCCATCGTTGCAGCACAAGCAAAAGACCGCCAGTGTCGTGGACGTCGATGGAGTGCGACACATCCTGCATGCTGTGGTCGTGAACGTGGTCGCCCAGGCGGAGAATGAGGTCGCCGTCCTCGAGGGCTGGGTCTGCCAACGACGACGACGGCAACGATTGCACGACGAGGAAAGGAGTCATGTCCTGGGGAGCCCATGGCGTCAGCTGGCACCCGATTAGCCCGTCGCTACAAGAACCAGTCCCCGTCAATATAATAATGGTAGAACTGCGATACAAGATGCACAGGGGGTAGGTACCCTGCCCACGACTGCGGCCGCAGTGTCACGTCAAATGACTGCATCGACCGGGATGTGCTGTCGTAACGACCGACCTGCACTGGCATGGCCTTATCAATGTACAAATGCACTTGGCCTATCAGATCGTCGTCCAATGAGGTCGTCGTCGTCGCAACCGCCGTGAGTTGACCGAGTTTGCCAATCCAGTCGCCTAATTCGGGGAAATAATAAGGGCTCGCCTGGTAATACCATGAAAAATTACAATAGTCTAGCCCAAAACGCCATTTTAAAACCAAATGCAGTAAATCTGTTAATGGCACGTCTGCAAAAATTCCCAAAGTCTCATATCCCATGAAGAAAAGGAGAAACGAAGAAGTATCGATAAAGTTATGGATGCCAGTTGAATTATGGAAAAATTATTCGATTTCCGAATGAGGTACAAGACTTTAACGTGAACACAAACCTCCATAAACCACCCGATTCTAAGGAAATTGGTGGTATAAAATTTTGAAGTTTGGTGACATCCAGACGAACAAAATCTCGAAAATTCGAATATTTCGATTTTGGCAACTTTTCTTCGAAAAACTGCGATTTTATGCCATTTTTTGTGCCATCCAGAACATTGAAAGACGTCTTGCTTGAGAGTTTTAACCCAAATTCAATAATTCCAGGTGGGATTTACTCTTTGAGTAAATCCCACATGGATATGTGTTGGACCACCATATTACATCCATTTGGAAAATGGTATTTTTGGTTTATCCCATTTTGCCATCAAATGAAATATTATTTTTGATATGTCACCAAATGCACTTTAAAAAACATGCCAGAACACGGTAATCTCTACAACACCACCTACAAAACTAAAAGGGCAACCTCAACGGCAATAATGTCAGGTATTGAGTGACGTCTGATTCCGCAGCGTGATGTTCACGTCATCGAATCAGATTGCGTGATCCATCCAAGTGATATATATATATATACCCGCTACGAGCCCGGCGTCGGCCGCGGGGGACCCAGCGATCACATGTTCCACGAGCAGAAATGGCGGGTAAATGACTTGGGGCGCTGCAATGTCAAAGTAAATCAAGTCCACGCCGAGCAACTCGACGTTGCGGCGCACGGCAGACGACAGCTGCAGTTGGGGTGCACACCACCGATCCGGCTGAATTTGCAGCACGAGCTCGTCATACCTACACCAGACCAAAAATATCATCGTTATCATAATATTAGACACGATTCCAAACGATATGAGCAAGTCATCGTTGCTTGAGACATCTTACTGTATGCACGATCATCCTTCAAAGTTGAAATACTATGCGTTTTCGTTATATTATACATATACGACGACGAACAACAAATATTTTTTTTCGTCCACGCCAATATATGAACAATATCGAACCATTGTTCCTTGGCAAGAACAACAATTTGGCTCATGATATGATTGATATAAGGCCGATCTGGTAATCTGAAATATTACAATACCCTGGTCCAAAACGCGATTTCGGGGCCGAATGCAATATATCTGATAAATATTTGAACCCTATGTTATTACAAAAAGGACTTTTAACATGTCCATTTTGAAAAAACTGACATTATCATTTGAAAATTCTCCCATTTTAATAGAAAAAGTACGACATCTTAGTTTGGAAAAATGTTACCAGATATCATCCCCATCACAAATATCCACAACAGATCATTTAATATGGACACTGTAACGACAAAAATAGATTCATACGACATCTGAAAGCAACTCATATTGTTGTACCGCGCTTCATCGGACGAGTACCGATACACGTGCATTTCCACGGCCAACGAAGCCGAGTACATGGTCCCAATCCAATCGGAGACACTGTCGAGGGTGGGAAATGTCGGGAGGTCAGTCACCCAAAACACGAGGTCGCCCGCCATGAGCCCCCCATTGTCGGCCGGGGAGTTGTCGTACACGGCATTCACCTGGGCGAAAGCCCCTCCATGGTCGACGCCGACAGGTGGGGAAGCCGTCGCTTCGTCTCCTTTTGCATGCAAGTTTTATATATGAAAAACTCGACAAGAATTGATTATTAATGGATTAAAAAACCACCTAAGCCAATCAAATCACGACTTGTCGAATTTCTGCCAATCCAAACGTTTGATTCAGTCCAGTTCGCATTGGGTAAAATTACATACTTTCGAAGTATAGGTATCCTAATCTTTGTAACGATACAGTATAGCTTGTACAAGCTTAAATAAGCTCATCGAATTGATTCGAATTCTTGAATATTTGGCGACATGAACCTCGTACGATTATGTGAAATCCACAATATAGCGATGACCACTTCATGGTGTTGATAACAAGAGTAGTACCAGTACCAGTAGTAGTACCAGAGGGGATTAGTCCGATTATGTCGTCGTTGTTGTTGTTGGTCGCTACGTGTTCGATCGGCAAGACGAGACCCACACCGTCCCAGGACTCCAACTTGACCTCGAACGACTCGTACTGCAACACGTCGACGCTCCATCGACTAACGAGTAGTCGCAGTGGAAACACCGTGATGCTACAACGCAACGATGAGCTAACAAATTACGATGATTCAGACGAATTAACTAACTAAAACGAACTTGGAAAACGCGTCCAGGCGGGCGGTGCTGCTAATTGCAGTGGGGGGACTCACGCCACTCGAGTACAGAGCCATCCCGTCGAACCAAACCAAGTAATCGTTGTCTTCCAATCCCGCCAACGCAGCGTCTCCAGAAATTTCCTCGAAAATGCCAAATGCCTCGACTGGAAAGTAGTAGTCCACCACAGCCACTTTGTCTGAAACGACGGCCAAAACGTCGGTGCTGCCCAACGCCGGAGTGTCGTCTGTCGACGTGTCCATAGTTGATACTCGATCAGAGTATTTTTCGGATAAAATACGATCTAAATTGTCCTCGTGTTGGTTGGACGCTGCTGAAGGGCCTGGCAGGGGTGCCACCGTGTCGCCATCGCAGGTAGATTCGTTCATTAATATGAGCTGCTCGCAATTATCATCATGGGTAGATGAATCGACGGCGGCGACGGATGGCGCGCTAGGTGCTTCCCCCTGACATAGTGGGGGGATTAATGTGTCTAGTTGTTCCTCTTGAGTGCTTGCCACTCGAGGTGCCACCACAGGCTCAAACACTTCTACCACCGCTTCTGACGGCTCGGAAGGAGGTGGGGGGTGGTCATCTTGCACTCCATCTTCATTGTGGCATACGTCGTCGCAACGAAGTGTGGCTTCTCCCCGTAGCTCCACAGTTGTGTTTTGGGCTATTGCTTCTTCCTGTAATACAGATCTCTCGGCAGTCTTTCCTTCGGGATTCGTGGGTATATCTTCGCCTGGGAACACATTCGGTTGGGGGTCGGGTATTCGTGCAGCCTCCACCAACGGTTCCAGGACCCCTTCGTTGTCGGCGGTGGGGGGCAGGCTCTCCATCGACTGAGCGATTTCAGATTGCACAGAGGCCGACAGTGCTGTGGTCACCTCAACCGCACATTGGCCAAGGCCATCGCGTTCACATGTTGACATTGCGACGACAGCGATGGAGGATTCATTTGCTAGACTTGGTGATACACTGTCGTCTCGTACCAGCCTTGCATCATCAACCTCCAGACGCTCCATCTTGGATAATATGCCGGGGGAGCTCTCGTGTTGCGCAACGGGAAGCTCTGCGACGACGTTATTGGCTTCCAAAAGGAACTGGCTGATTTCAGCTAAGGGGGCGCTGGGGGGGTCTTCTTCCTTCATCTCGACCGCAGGCTCAGTGTCTTTGGCAGTTGCATCCTCCGTGCTTTGTGGCACTTCCGTGTCTTTCCGCAGTAACAAAGGCTCTGGTTCTAATAGTGTTCTGGCCTCATGGACGGCTGGGGGTTCAGGGGCTGGTTCGTCTGGCTGTTTCTGTGACATGGGTATTGGTTGAGTATCTACGGTCGCCAAGAGCCTGGGTTCAGGGGGGATAGGTTGGGTGGCGGTCGGCGACAGTTTTAACGACGACGCGTGTTTCTATTCAAGTCCATATATATATATTGATATTTCACAACCACATATATATATATATTTACCTTGGCCCGCTCGGGGGCATCAAACGGATGTAAAATGCACCCCAAGAGTCCTTGGCCTTTCCATTTGTGTGGCCGAAGCACCAGTGGCAGCCACGTTCGACTTCCCCGAAGCAGCGAAATCGAAATACCCCGGTTCGTTCGTTCATTCACCAACCCCACCTACACAACAAATATATATAAATATATTAACATTTCCTGCAAATAGTATATATCCAACATATCCACCCCAGACCATGTCTTTAATCAAGGTTGCGTGTGTGGCCCCAGTGTAATACATGACAGAGCCCACTCGCCCAAGTAAATCCCCCGCTAGGAGGCCAGCAAAGGCGGCAGGGGAGTCCACTTCTACGCACTCCACTTTGACAAACGGGATCGCATTCATTGCAATCATGTGGCGCTGCATGTGATCAATCAGTTGACTGATCGTTGCGTCCATGTGACACCGAAGGGTATCCACAGCACCCTCTTTAGGACATACGAACGCTGGAGACGACACTGTATCGATGGCGTCCAACAGCTTGTGGTGCCATACTATCAAGTCCCCCAATGGCAGGGGGATTGGGTCGACTGGAACTGGCACACACAGTGCTTCGAACGCCGCTAGGTCGTTTTGTGGGGCCCCTGACGTCGATGTATGGGCTTGATCGTTTTGTGGGGCCCTTGGTGCTGGTTGAGTTGGTACGGATAGGTTGAGTGGGGGGGGCTCATACGGTTGCAATACACACCCCAACAACCCCTTGCCCTTCCACTTTTGTGGTTTCAGGACCAAGTGCCGCCAAGTGGAGCTCCCGCGTTGGAGGGAAATGGACACGCCCTTTCCTACCCGTGCGTTGACCACCGTCACCTACCACGATGCAATACAGGTGAAACGTTGTTGTATTGGCGAATCGGTTCGAATTTGGACTTTTGGCTAGTGTTTTTCATTGGATTAGCCAATCGAATTGCACAAACGAGAAGTTTCAGCCAGTCAACGATCAGCACAGTTTGACCCAGCAATTGGCCCACCAAACACCACAACGATAAATTGTATACTATACATTGAATAGGCTAAAAATCACTCAAATCGATGGTCGTCGGATCATCTGACCAGTCCAAAATTCCAGCGAAAAGGATAACCACAATGTTGAAATATGCTTGCCATGGTACAGAATCAGATATCATCTGCACATGTACGAACCACTTGGCGAATCAGTGTCGAATGGGTGGCCGTGGGCGCTTTAACGACAGATCCAAATCGACCGACGACGTCTCCGACTTGGAGCCCTGCGTGCGCAGCTGGGGACTCGCTTTCGACGCCGTCGACCTTTAAGAATGCCGAGCATTTCTGACCGTCCATTGCTTCGTGGATGGCGAGAATGCGCTGCGCCAAGTCACGTGGAGGAAGTGGCGTCGGACTGTCCAGCGCGTCATGCACTAAACCCACGAGATCATCAATGCTTAAATTGGCAGCCAATGGGACGGCGGCTACAAGGACGGATTCCGCAGAGCTGTACCTAAGGAACAATGTCAAAACTGGATGCTAAATCGAATGAATCGGCAGACAATCGATCGACCAATCAAAACACAGAACACGTGTCAAGTAGCCAATCAAAATCTGGCATCAACAATTTCAGTGAGAGAATAACATTAGTGTGAAGCTCCCTTCAAATACAAAAAAATCAGTACAAAAGATTCAGCGGATCAACTCCAAACTCCAAATTTTGGCTGACATGGACCATATGTGTCGAGCGAGACCATCAACTACATTGGTGGGTAGATATATATATATATATATACGCATAGATGTACTTGAGCGTTTTGATCTTGGCGTCCAGGGTAGCATACTCCTCATACATTCCTTGCACGTCCTTCTTGTCGGCTACCGTCGGCGGGTGGCCATGCTGTTGTTGAAAGTGCGTGCACCAGTCTTGGATCTCCTGCTTGATATGTTTCTTGCGATGGGACTACGCAACCAACCTCCGCGTTATCACGAGGGGTTGTCCAACTGCCAAGGACACACTATTGTGTACCAGAATATCCAGTTCTGGGGGCGAACTTGGGGTAGCATTCGAAGTGTCCATCATAGCGTTGAGTTGTTGCTGCGATGGTGTGGATTTTAGCAATACCCCTGGTGTATCTGCTTTGTGGATGGTAGTAGCCGATGGACTAGTTGATGCAGCAGCACTCAACTGATGAAACGCGGACGAGTGCTGCGCTTTTTTGGCCTTGTCATCAGCAACTAACCCTTCGAGGCGGTGTTTAACTAGTCGCAAGTGGGCTTCGACGTCGCTGTATCGCTTGTACAGCTGTTGAATCTCTGTCTTTTCTTCTAATGTCGGCGGTCGGTTCAATTTCGCTTGGAAGGCATCGCACCTGTTGGCCATACATGAGTCGTGCTTGTAACGTGGTTAATATATATATATATCATGTCGAGTGGTTGTTCTACTACCAAGACACAATGTCTTGCTTGATCGATTTCTTCAACACGACACACGTGTTGTGTTCGTCCCGTAGTTGCTCCTTGGTCAGCAACGCCACGTCTTTAAACTCCTACAAATAAACATATACACACATCATCTATCTTGCTAAGCAAATAACAATAGTATTTTTCATCGAGATAGTTTAGAATTACCCCCACGGGGGGCTTGTCCACCGACGGGTTCAAGCAAAACGATCCAATCTTCGGCACGCCTACATACATCCCCCCCCGGTGTTAGCTTTGATCCATTCATCTTGTTAAGTAGCGCTCCGTTGTTATAGGATTAACATGTTGTCATCAATATGTATGTACTCTTGGCGGGGGGGTCGTTCCCCTTCGGGGGGGAGGACGGGGGCGGCAGTGACGTCGGGTGGTCCATGGCTTCAATTCGCTTGAGTCGATTTTCCGTTTCCTTTCGAAGTCGATGCAACTCCATGCGGCGTTTCTTGTCCTCTTCGTACTGCGCGGCCATTTGAGCGCGGCGGGCCGCCTGCTCGCTGGCTTCTCGCGCGGCTTCCGCCTCTTCCCACGCCTTCCACTTGGCCTCTTCGGCAGCGACTTTGGCTTGGACCAGCGCGTCTTCGGCGGCTTTTTGCATGCGCCCGCGCTCGGCGTCGTCCTCAATCTCCATATGTAGTCGCTCCATCTAGACATATGGCGTGGCTTAGCAAGTTGCTGACAAAGAACAAACACCTGCTCTTGCTGTGCCTGGCGTTCCTTCTCCAACACAGCCTTTTTCACAGCTTCGTTGGCCAAGTACTCTTCCCGAGCTTTCCGGTCGGACGCTTCCTTCATCTTGCGCATGCGGGCTTCGCGGTCCTAGGCGAACGAAGTGCCATCAGACTATGCACTGGCTTTCTGTGTTGCGTTGATATACGAAAAAGGAGATTTCAACCAAACAAAGGATTTTAACATTGCACAAAAGTCACCGTCATAGTACCTGTTGTTTGCGGTCGTTTTCCGCATCTTGCTTGGCTTTCAGGGCTTCCATTTCAATCTTGTGCTTGTCCAGCAGCACTTGTCTCTCTTCAGCTTCCACTCGCCGCCTTTCCTTTTCTAATGCTTGATACACTCGAGCGGCCTCGTCCTTCATGAGCTTTCGCATGTGCTTGTCTTCTTCTTGCATGGTCAGCCTCGCCTCTTGCCGCTTGAGACGGTCCACCCCTTCCTGTGTAAACGTGTAGTCCTCCTTTTCCATACAGGCCACTTCCGCCCGACGCCGGCTCTCTTGTTGCAAGCGCTCGCGGTGGTTTTGGCCCGCCGACACGGCGTTGTCTGCGGAGGATGCCATAGCACTTTCGACGTTGACTTGGCGCATCATCGCAAACCGATCCATGGGCATTTTCGTTGCTTTTGGTTTGGACGATGAAGTTGGGGGGTACACGGTCGCCGACGCGGATGGCGGGGGCGCCACCATCATGGGAATTACTCGCTTGCTCATCACAGACAGGTCCGGTGTTCCGTCACCATAAGCAAATCGGACTGACGGTTTCATGTAGTCATGTAACTGCCAAATGTCCTGAAAACGAATTTCAAACCGATCAGCAAAGTAGAGGGACAGGAGCGATGATGAACCAGCAGTGAAGCCTTTGAATACTCCAATACTACTGTGGTGTCACTTGCTATTTAGCCATTTTGTTCGGACTCGGGGGAATTGCCCCATTGTTGTGAGTGGGGGAGTCACCAGAGTTGGCTACGTTGGGCAAAGAACTGAATACAATGCGTACTGACAGCGGCTTTATTCGAGTAGTTAGTCTTGGTGGTATCATCTTCAAATCCAATTTCCTGGGTGCGGTGAAAGCCCAATGAAGGACGAGATGCGTCGTAGCCGGACAAGTTTGTTATATCGCACCTACCGGTAGTTCGGTCATAAACAATCAAGTTTGGCCAGTGAGCATACGCCCCGATCTGCAACACATGCACTGCGCTTTCAACATAGTTTTGTATTGGTGTGGTCGTAGATTGCTACAGTACGTAGGTGCTACGTATCCCAAAATTATGGTTCGTCTGTACATTGTGTCGTTAAATGAGGTGGGTATGGTCGATTGTGCGCGACGATATGCGGGCAACTAGGCTGCTATGTAGGGACACAGGTCCTCTTGTGCTGTTGTTGATTCTGCTGACGAAAGAGATTGCTGGCGGTGACATCGCCACTGGTGCATGGCGGCAGCGAGAAGCAAGCAACATGTCACACCCGCCCCAATCATTGCGCCTTGTTCGAACGGCGAGATCTCGACTGGTTCCATCCGGTAGTACACTGGGTGACAGCGGCAGGATGTAGCACGTTCGTTGGATTGACGAAGATTCGTCGACAAGATCGCAATGGGAAGTGGCGAAACCGTGAATTATATCACCTCTGACATCGACAGGCATGAATTTGGATCCAACGACAGCCAATCAGGAGGCGCGATTGGTGATCCGTCACATTGCACCTGTATTCGTTCGTACGTTTAACGCTGTTGTAGTTGTCCCGACTAAAATATGCTATGCCATGCATCGCCTTGATGTACTTGTAACTCAAATGTCTCTTCAATGCCTACTTTTGGAATGCATTACGTGTACAGCGTCCGTAGTAATGAGCATTGAGGAAATGAGAACATAACGTTATACTATTAAATAGTATTAATAGTATTTAAATTAGAATCAATTGCTACAGTACTGATACATTTGTTGTAATAATGAGAATATTTATCGTACTGTATGAAATAATAAAGAAAGTGACATTGTTGTGAAGGATATCCCGAACATACCAACAGGGAAAATGTGATGCAATCAAGTAGTGCTACGCAGTAGTCACCCTACATTCGCCATACACGTTCGTCCTGCAATCCTGCCTCCAATCATCTGTACGTTAGCCCTTAGTATTAATACTACCGGTAGTAATTGAAAGAATGGTAGAAAACACCGTTGAGTGTCGCCACGTCCCATCTGCCCGTTGGCCGGCCAGTCCCCCCATTCTGTTTTCATTGTTGGATTTGCGCCTTGGGTCGAACATGCCGTGCCTTTGCAACCCCTGTACATGCAACCCGTGTTTGTGTGACCGCGATTGTCCATGCAATGACAGCGGCGTGGCGATGTTGAAGGGCCACCTCCGCCTCAACATTCCTAACGAAGCCCAACCTACCCCTGGTGGAGCCAATCCTACATGCATGTAAGAATGCAGTCGTGCCCCTGCCTCTTGACCATGAAGCCCCCCTGAAGCAAGTGTGTGTATGTATCCTGTTGATAACGTTATGACGCCGGGGTCATGATTTCATTGCCTGCGTGACGTGTATATTATCGTTGAGAACAAAAGAAGCAAGTTGCTGCGTGTTGTCCGCTGAACCGACGTTGAGTGTACAGCATCATGGCTAGGGTACAGTACATATGGTACAGTGGTTCCCACACAAACTGTTGGGGTGCCGTAGAGTCAGTGGTCCCTCTTTATCATCTTCTCTTAACGTTATTCACAACATTCCCTGATGACGACTACACGTGTATGTACTATACTATATATGTAGTACTCCGAGTAGTATACTGTACCATAGTTTCAATAGTACTGTACATACAGTGTAACGCACAGTATGTGGAAGCAATGAATTATCAATCACTCTGGAGCTTCTGATTGGTTGAATATGCTTGTCTTTCTGTAAAAGCCAATCAAATCCACTCGAGACTGGATAAGCCAATAGCATCGATTCGTGATTCGATTCGGCGAGATAGATATGATCCCCAATAGAGTAAAAACGTTAACATTACTGGTATATAGTGTACAGCATCGGTGTACATAGTGCTTTGTCGACTTCCGGTACAGAAGGACTGGAACTTGTTCCACATGTGATTCTCTGAGTATCATGCGGCATTCACATGAAGTCGCGTCGTCACTTTACGGTCAAGAAGGTATGCCATGCGACAGTCGTAGCTGCCCCCAAATAAATACAAATGATATTTAAATGCATTTCGCAGTGATACCTTAGTGAATTCAAGTCAACACTACGCTTCATTCAAAAGATTATTTGAAAATGCTCAAAAGTCTCTATAGTATACAAACCGCCATACTAATCTCAACTTCAATTGCGTGTACCGTCCACACGAACGCCATTTCCCATTTTTCTTCAAGCGACAACCATCATGCCTTGCCCTTGCAACTCCTGCACATGCACTGACTGCAAATGCGGTCAACCTACCGCCGCTGCGCCCACTGGATGCCAATGCAACCCTTGTTCATGCACAGACTGTAAGTGTGGCCAGCCCGCTGTGGCCGCTCCGTCTCCGTGCCAGTGCAACCCTTGCACGTGTACCGACTGCAAATGTGGCACTCATTGAGATGTACCGTCATGTTGTAGCATTCATTGAATACATGGACGAATCTCCTCTGTTCCCGTTGTCTTTGTTTGCACGCAGTGTTATCGCGCTACCGACGAGTGATGCGTGCCTATTCGGTCATACACTGTACCAACTTCAAGGCAAGCTCCCTCGCAAGTGAATGATTCGATTCCTCCACTTGTGTGATGCGGAAAGGGGCATGAGACATGTGACTTCAGAACCAACGGTGCTTAACTGTAAATCTATAGCCCAACGGGTGCATGTTCATCCTTCCGTTGACACTTCCGAGTGGCACATTCAAGCAAGTCGTCATTTTCGATTTTACGACCACGATGCCTTGCCATTGTTCTCCTTGCACTGCCACCAATTGCACCTGTGTGCAACCGGCCACGGAGTGCCAGACCGATGCCTGTACGTGCGCGGACTGCAAGTGCGGGCAAGGTTCGGCTAAGGCCTCGACGTGCCACTGTGATCCATGCACCTGCTCCGATTGCATGTGCACCCAATCAGACCCTTCCACGTCGACATCGGACGCCCCAGGCAAAGCATGCCGTTGCGACGACTGCGGATGTGGGGCGACCAGCATCACGTAGTGTACATATGTACTGTACCGTCAACTAGCCTGTGAAGTGGCTCGTGTTGTGATTTACTAGTAATATACTCTGTAGTTGGGGGATGCTCTTGTTGGCACCTCATTCATCCATCACATGACGCTCTTGACAACACATGAGCAATGTACAGTAAACTCGAAAAAACTCACAAGTGTAACATGCCAGTATAGTACTGTACTACGTAGTATACACTGTACTGTACAATGTACAGTACAGTACGAGTACACTGTACAGTAAACTCGAAAAAACTCACAACTGTACATGCCAGTATACTGTAGCACTGTACTACGTAGTATACACTGTACAGTACAGTACGAGTACACTGTACAGTACACTATACATTGACCCCCGAAACCATTGACATGTGAAACGATAACATACGTTAACACTAAAACCTGAAGCAATGAACTCTGTACAACGTGTTATAACTCAGAGTTATACTATGATAACAGTATAGCACGCATCAATTGCCATCATTTGAATTATAACACTTTGCCCATGATTATAACTCGTCCGCACCTTGAGGTTTTGATTACCAGTCACACGTTGCGCGCGACAACAGCCCACGACGACAACAGACCATGCTGCACACCGACGTCATCCGCGCGCTCCTGAGCAATGACAACGCCGTTCGGCATCAAGCAGAGTCCACGTACACGCAGATCAAGGCGCGTCAACCCGTGGAACTGGCCACGGCGCTGCTCACGTTGACGAGCGTTCAAACCAATCCGTCGGACGTGGAGACCCGCACGTTCGCACCTGTGCTCCTCCGCCGCCTCGTGGAGACGGAAGGACTCCCAAACGATGCAGCGTACCGTGCACAGATGAAGGCGCAACTGTTGGCAACGCTCGTGCAGGAATCGCAGCCGTCGATTCGGCGTAAAGTGTCCCATGTCGTCGCTCAAATTGCGCGCCAAGATGCGTCCTGGCCGGAATTGTTGCCGTCCATGGTCCACCTCACCCAAAGTCCCGATGCGGTACCTTTCGTCGACTCATGTGACATCTTCATGGTTACCTTTCATCCCCGTCGAATAGAGCATCCAAGTGACCGCGCTGGACGTTCTCGCCATGCTCGCCGAATACACGGGCGCGACCCTCAAAGTCCACCACGAACAGCTCACTCACTTGTTTACGTCCTTCATCTCATGTACGTACCGCGACTGACTCCCCATATCTTCTTCGTCCTCCTCGAACAACATGCTGGGAATGTACAGTATTTGCGATGCATGTTCACCCCTTTCTCCTGCTTGGAACTTACCATGCGTGATATAGCTTCCACGGCGTCCAAGGCATCCCGCGTGGCCGCGTGGAAGGCGTTGTCGGCGTTTGTGTTGCATTTGGAGTCCAACGACGCATTGCAGCCGTTCTCGCAGATCCTGCCGCCGTTTCTGCAGGTGTGTCCACATTGTCTTTCTTTTCGCCGAAATTTGAACTTTTGTGCTGATTTTTTGCCAAATCTTGTAAAGATCGTCCACACTAATTTCAATCACACCCAACTCGCGCACAGTGGTATCGACACTATTTTTTTCCATGGAGCATTCATCAATTCCGACGTCAACCAATAGTATTTTTTTCATATTTTATATTTTAACCAATGGTATGCTCATAAAAAGTTTGTAAATTGTATGATTGGACTTAATAAAATTAATCAGATCAATTGATCTGATTGCAAAATTATAATTCGTACTCGGAATCACAACTTGCGCATTCGCATACAATTCCCCATATGTTTCAAAATACCACTGTGCGCGAGTTCCTACTCGGTTCTCTGTACTTCGGTCGTTGAAGAGTGAAGCTGATTGGCTACTGGATTCGTGTTGTGGGTTTTGATTGGTCAATATCAACACCTGACTCTGTTTTCTGTAGTTGCTTGAAGGATTGCTGCACAACGGCGACGAAGGGGCTGCGCGAGATCTTCTGACGTCGTTCTTGGCCATCACCGAAGTCCATCCGTCCTTGCTCTTGCTGCATACCGACCTCGTGGGAAAGTACGTCGTCGTTCATCTATTTCATCTATTAGTCGCCGTGAAGGCCTTGTTCATCTATTCATTTATTCATCTATAATAGTGCGATGCTATCGACGACCCAAGCGCAGTCCTTGTCCCCGGAAACCCGCACGTTGGCCTTGGAATGTCTGTTGGCGCTCTGTGAACATGCTGTACGTGATGCATATTGTTCACAAATATAGATCAAAAACAATGGATATTTGGGATGAATATCGCCAAATCTATAGATTGCTGTGAATGCATACTCCAGTTTGTATGTCATAAACAACAACGTTGTATTCGAATCACACTAATTTTGAAGTCACACACTAATTCGAGTTGGATGAGGGTGGGTGTTTTTCCCTGCATTCGGATGGACTACATACATTCTTCGGGTCATTTATTATTTGGTCGTGTGTCGATTCGTCATTATTCTCCAGTTTAGGATAAACACAACAATATATATATATTGCCATTGCAGCCAACCTTGTTCATCGATTTTTACCCTTTCTATATCGTAAACAGACCTACGATATGTCACAGATCAAGTTCTAGCTATAAAGTTTGAATTGTTTGTGGCAAGTATATCTCATATATATATATATATATGAACGATAATGTATAGACGCAACTGTTTCGGTCTTCCAAGGCATTGCTGGAAGCGGTTGTGCCTTGTCTGCTCGCGCTACTAGCCGAACTCGAAGACGTCCCTGCTTGGGTGGATCAATTCGACGACATCGTACGTCGATTATTCGAATAATATTATTCATATTTATCTTATCTACAATATTATTATTCAAATATGTTTATTGTGATTGTCAACGTTCCTCGATGTTGCATTCTTTTTTTCTGCACTCCGAGCAATAGACATGCAGACTACGACCGATATCGTTGGATGCTGAAAACAATTTAAGATGTATTTATAAATAAATGACAAAAAACATTTATAAAAAATAGAAAAAAGTGTTGTGTTTGAAGATACAGTCGCCAACTAGCGTTCGTTACATCTTCCTATTTTATCACGTATATATATATATATATATACGTGATAAAATAGGATATATATATATATATGTGATAAAATAGGAAGACGTATAAAGTGTATTCATTGATATTCGTGGCAATATATATATATATATATATATTAACATCTTCGATGTGGTATACATAGAAACACGACGAAGCCACGGACATGTGTGACGCTGGCGCCGTGGCCATCGATCGCGTCGCGCACTCTGTGGGCGGCAAAGTGATTGTGCCGTTGATCCTGCCGTTCGTTGCGCAGTACCTCGAAGACGTGACGTGGCAGCGTCAGCATGCAGCGTTGTACGCCCTGGGTCTCATGGCGGAAGGGTCGAAGGATCATTTGTTTCAAGCATTGGATGTGTGGCTGCCTCGTATTCTCGCCAAGCTTCAAGACCCCAACAACCACCCCCGTGTTCGGTATACATTTATCCTTGTCAATTTACGCTTTTGGAGTAGAATGGTTGGTTGCCTGTTGTACTAATCCATATTTGTGTCTACTTTGACCTATACGAAAGTCCATATTGGATATTGTGTCTACTTTGATCTTATAAAACTCTTTTAATATTTTATTTATAAAAATCTATACCTAAGTCCATATTTGGTATTGTGTCTACTTTGACCTATACCTAAGTCCATATTTGATATTGTGTCTATATTTGACCTATACCTAAGTCCATATTTGATCTATACCGAAGTCCATATTTGATCTATACCTAAGACCATACTGGTATTTGATATTGTGTCTACTTTGACCTATACCTAAGTCCATATTACCTATACGAAAGTCCATATTTTATATTGTGTCTACTTTGAGTCATTAAGTTGGACGTGTTTCGCCCTCTCTATATCGCTCGAGTCTTTGAATGTTGTATGTAAAACGTTAACGTGGGGTGCTTGGAGTATCACACTATATGAAGTTATACACTAATTCGATGTGGAGGAGGGGGGTTATTTCGTGCAATTGGATTGGCTACTACTACATACTACTATTGCCGATGCTTGTGTCTATTTATTCAATATCATTCTATCAGTTTAGTGTCATATTCCGTTGAAAATAATAATAGTTGGTGCACATATTGTCCTTTTCGCTGAAATTTGGACATGACACGTGATTCGATAAATATATATATTACAGTGAGTCGGATTTTAAGCTTCTTCAATATATACACATTGGATTGACAATGCATGTTTTGACTGGGCCAACATGTGGGGCCATATTATACACTACTCGATGATTGGTTGAAATCCCTCGTTCGTGCACATTGATTGTCTAGGACATTATCCATTTGATAAAACTTCATTTAATTCTATGACAACAAGTGACTGATTTATTAATATATATATATTTTGTAAATGTAGCCACGCTGCCTTGTTTTGCGTGGGCCAATTCGCAAGGGACTTTGGCGTTGTCGAGCGAGGCAAGAACTTCCAGACCAAGTACCATGCGTATGTCCTGCCCACGTTGGTGCCGCTCTTGTCCGACGTACGATATATATTATATATATGCCTTGGTTTCATTTATAAACGTGGATTCATGTCATACTCTGGAGTACGGGCCTGTTTCAAGCACCAGGTAGATGCTATCTTTAGAAAATAAAGTAATGGTTTTAAGTAGTATTCATACAGGATTCCGACTTGTTTACCTCTTTTGCTGCGATTGTTTACTGCCATACTTCCTATACAAAAAGTAACACAAGAGGTCCCATTGATTATGTTTGGCTCATGATATTGCCCTGCTCGCGGAAATATATGGACTTGGGTTCGATTGGTGTCAGATCTTAAGCTTACTCTATATATGGTATACATATAATATTCTGTAGGCTGGGCCAAACTATAATGATCCATGATTCTCAACAGTGTAATTCGATTGGCTTTTGAAATTGCCTCATTCATTCGATATATATTTTCGACTGGCAAGTCCCAAATGGGAACGGATTTGACAATATTTTTTGAAAACTACTTGAAACAACAAACCTCTGTACATCAAAGAAGGGGACATACTTGTGTCGTGTATACAATATTCTATTCACAATGAATATATATATATATATATATTGATGTCACAAAGTGTTGGCTTGTGTATTTAATATAATTGGATAGCCTGTCCTGCGCAATCGCGGGTCCGCGGCGTCCGCGATGAGCAACTTCTGCCACCCCCAACACTGTCGCACACAATACGTGCTGTCGCTGCTGGACCCGATTCTGTCGGCCCTTTTTCGCACCTTGCAAACCAGTCCCCGCCAGGTACCTAGTACTACTAGTACTACTACTAGTCCAAGTAGTATTCGACAAGGATGGGCGTAGCTAGAATGATGTCCACTGTCGTATATATATACATATTATGCAATGGGTTCAGTGTTCACCAACCGGTTCTGTGGATCATGGGATGATATATACTGTAACATGATATATATATTTTTTTATGTGGATAGGTACAAGAACAAGCGATCACGGCCGTCGCGTGTGTGGCGAAAGTGGTCGGCGACGCGTTTGTCTTGCATTACAGTGTGTTTATGCCAGTTGCTGCGCAACTGTTAATGCAATCCAAAGGTAAAAAAAATCACGGCATCTTTATATCAACCCTTGCATCACCATATATATATATATATATCGATGCCATCTAAATTGGTAAACAGCGAACCGCCGTCCACCAACGACTCGTGTTGATTCTTCAGTAGATATATATATAAATTTCGAGGAACTGTACACTTAAGGAATAGTATATGTAGTAGTACTAAACGCATTCTCTAGAGTAATTCAAATGTGGAATATATAATGTACAGGCTGCTGAATGCTTTGAAGCATGGTATAGTTTTTCTGCTGTCGTTTGAGTTGACCATGCTCTCCATGACGTTTTATCCTTAAAACCATTCGGTTTAAACACGATCAGGTTGTTTCGGATCACACTTATTTGTGGGGGGGGTCTACATATATATATATATATTGATCCTTTCAGCCAAATGTCACCCTTCACGCGAATTCCAGCACTCCAAGTCGATGTTGAATGGGTTCAACGAGTGCATTTGATTGGCCACTTGAGTAGTTTTCTTGTTTTTGATTGGTCGATCATCGATTCGACTCACTCCAAGTTTGAAAATCGATAATGTATTCTATCGATGATCGATTCTTTGTACTGCCAAAGATCGTCCAGTATCACACTAATTTCAGTATCACACACTAATTTGGTTGTTGACTTTTGTCGAAGGGATTGGCCACTTGATTCTTGATCTGGGGTTTTGATTGGTTGAAATATCGATTGTCTGCCAATGTTGGTTCTTGTGCTCGTTTGTCCAATTGAGACAATATATACTCTAAATCATTGTGTGTGGTTAGGCAAGTCGTATGCGTTGTTGCGTGGGAAAGCGATGGAATGCGTGGCGTTGATTGGGCAAGCTGTGGGAAAAGATGCGTTTTATACTGATGCCAAGGCCGTGATGGACATTTTACTCTGCCATGACACGGGCGACAGCGGCGTCGAGATGCAGTACCTGACGCAGGCGTGTGTCCGCATTGCGAGCGTGCTTCAGGAGGATTTCGCCACGTATTTGCCTCTGATTGTGCCCAAGTTGCTGCACCAAGCCGCCACCAAGCCCGACGTGGTGTTGGTTGACTGGAACGAAGCGACCAATGAAAAGAATGATGGCGAGAATGACGACGACGGAATTCAAGAGATTGCCGTGGACGTACCAGGCCAGGGCAAGAAGAAGCTGCAGATTCAAACCAGCGCCTTGCAAGATAAAGAGCTGGGGCTCAATATGATCTACCAATTAGCTCTCGACCTCCGTGGGTCCTTCTTGCCCTATGTTGAGCCTGTACGTGGATATCTTGGAGAAATACTTGTTACTCGTCGTTGTTTCATATATATATATCTTGAAGTTTCAGTGTTGGCCAAGCATTCTCTTTTTATCCAATCATCGTGCTCTGTTCACACTGCCTTGGGGATTTCAACAACCAGCCCCCCAAAACTATCAACATTGTCCAAATATAACGTAACAGTGACTAATATGAGGTAATTGTGGTGGGTGTAGGCGCTGCAAGTGATTGTTCCGCTGCTCCAGTTTGAGTACCTCGACACAGTCCGCATGCTCAGTGGTTTGTCGTTGGCCAAGTTACTCGACGCGGCGATCGCTGGCTCGGATGTGTCGTCTGCCACGCCCCAGCACGTGCTGGAACTGATTTTCGAGCCGCTCTTGACTGTACGCTAGTATTACTAGCTGGACTACTACTACTAGTAGTCCCGTGTTTGACCAAATATCTCTAGGCGTTGATCGAAGAAACCGACTTGGAGTGCATCGTGGGCTTGTCGGAAGCGGTGGCGAGTGTGTTGGAAGCGGCGAGAAATGCCGCCGACAACGGCGTCCGCATCGGCATCCCACTGTCGCATTTGCCCACGGTATAGTACTACTAACCTACTAATCCTACTACTACTACCACTAATGATATAAATGAATCACTTTCAATGTGGGGCTGGTTGGTCATGGATGACACATTGTTGTCGTGTGCCATGATAAAGGATATATTTTTCGTATTATCATGAATACTTGCTATATTGTATTATATATATATATATATATATATATAGGTATATGACAAACTATTGGCCGTGTCCCATGCCAGTGTATTGCGCCGGGTGCAAAACTTGACTGAATCAGCAAACGACGAAGATGACGAAGAAGTCAACGCAGAAGACGAAGTACGTGAATATGGAATCGCGATAATTGGTCATTGTATTTTTATCTTTTTTTGTCTTACAGTTTGTATAGCCATATTGGGTAATCGATCATTTAGAATCGTGTACTATATATACCTTTAGATGAAAATACAATCTATAAATATTGATTTCCGATAGAAACGTTGTTTAGTATGACCATATCTCGTACCTCTATGTGGTATATTACAGTGATCGTACCTTGATTATTTGTTCGTCCATTCAATCTTTATAAATCTTTTAACTCATTTTGTCATTTTATAAATGGACATTTGTGCTTTATTTTTCGTATCGCAGGGTATGCCCATGTCGTTTCCATACCTATATATATATATATAGAAAGGACTATATATATATATATATAGAAAGGACTATATATATATATTGATTGACCTTTCCGCCGTAACTGGATTTGTATGCTGATTTGCCAATTCCATCGATCGATTGTTGTTTGTACCGATTTTTGTATGTAATAAACGTCCAGTTTCACACTAATAGTTACGTCCCACACTAATTCGATGTGGAAGCGAGAATGATATTTGCCACTTGATCGTGTTGTGGGTGTTGATGACTCGATCATCGATTGTCTGCCGATTGCATGCTGCGGCTCACATTCGATTGAGAGCAGTTGCCCACTCCAAATTCGATATATATATATATTGTCCATTTATATATATACATATTGTCCATTTATATATATATATATATATATATATATACTGGTTTGGAGGCACACGTGTGTACGTGATATAAAACGATCCAGATCCATCCATGCACATATCGTCTTTCTTTCAGTTAAAATTTGGACTTTGTGCTAATTTGCCAAATCCATCGATCGACTACAAACATGTCCAGCAGATATGTCCATCACACTATTTGTTTCCTTTTCACACTGTAATGAATGAGTTGTCGATTGGTTGAACTGATATCATTTCCTATAACTTGATTGGTGGTGTCGATACACATTCGGCACGTCGCTCCAGTTATTTAAACCCAACAATATTACTATTATCTAGGAAGCGATTTTGCAAAATATTGTCGATGCGATCGGGTGGAGCATCAAGCAATACAAGCAGGACAGTGTGCCGTTGTTCGTGCAGCATATTGCGCCAGTGATCAGTGCGTACTTGGACCCGTCGTTTCCAGCGGAGATTCGGGCGCATTTTATCTGCATTCTCGACGACGTGCTCGAGTTTGGGGGTGCCGCCGTGCCGCCGATTCTGCCGTCGCTGCTCACCCACCTCTGGAATGTACGTGACCTCAATTCTTGGTTTATATGGAGTAAGTTGTAAATACTGCCTGCCTCCTACTATTGTTTATGTATCGTTGATCTGCTGCGCCATGACATATATATATATTTATTTATTTATTGTGAATTCGCTATAAACTTGCAAAATTCGCGCGATTTGTCTAATCAAGATGAATCAATCACAGTGGAGTTCTGATTGGTTGAATATACTTGTCCTTTCTGTAAGAGCCAATCAAATCCACTCAAATTGGATTAGCCAATACCGTCGATTCGTGATTATTCGATTCTGCGGCGAGATTATTCGATTCGACGGGGTCTGGAAATTTGTACCAAATCCACAATACAACGTAAATATAGTTTTATGATATATATTCAATGACCAAGTATACAACAGTGTATACAATTGGAATAATGAAATAATTTACGATTCTTTTATCATTGGAGTCATTATATTTGGCGCGATTGTTCATTTGTTTTCCTTCCTAGAGCAGATACATATAATATGGGAAGATATATCTTGGGTTATATATATATATTTATGATGTCATTGTAGAGCTTGGAAGATAGCAATCCGTGTGTGATTCGAGCGGCGGCGTATGGCGCTGGCATTTGCGCCCAACATGGAGGGCCGGCGTTCGAACCACATTGCGTCGCGACGTTGCAACGTGTGTGGACCTGTATTCAAGCTCTGGTATAACTATATATTTCATATATATATATGTTACTCGTAAATATATATTTATCATATTGTATATATGTTCTCTCGACATGTTGTATTCGCTGCTGATTTGTGTGGCTGCCGTGTGTTTCATGGATTTTGGGACTTGACCACCAAATATCGATATATATATATATCATATAACTTGACATTTTCAATTCATTTCGTAATTTTCAGCGTATTGCAGGTTCCATATGTTGGTTGAATGAACCTGCGGAATATCATATAAAACTTAGTGTAAGAGGTATCTTCGGGACTGCATGACAGCATTCGTTCTCGTTAGCCAATCATAGTGCAACTTTCATGTTTTTTTCGCCAATCATATTGTGTGTTCTAACTCTCCTCTCGATTGGTTGAATCAACCGCCGAACAATCGCTGGACCTTCGAAATGTCATATAAACTGAGTTGAAGAGGTATCTTTGAGACTGCAATACTTCAACAATCAATATTTTTAGCCAATCATATTTCAACCTTCATTCTTTATAGCCAATCCTACTCCTTTGCTCGATTAGTTGGCATCAATCCCCCAAATAATAGGCTGAAAAGTACCATACTGTTTTGCTCGTTTTACAACAATATCCCCAAATTTGACATATTTGGATAATAATGCATACATATGGGAAATAGGAGCACGATCAAGTAGAAACCGACCAAGCGTCGGCGCGGGACAACTGCGTGTCGGCGGTGGGCAAGTTCTGCTTGTATCGTGCGCACTTGGTGGATGCACCGACGCTGTTGAGTCTATGGTAATAAATAATATACCATATATATATATATATATATATATATCATCATCTCTAAAACCAACCTCATATACCGACGTTTTTGCCATCCCTTTCAAAAGTTTTGTTATATTATTATTGTCGATTTGATACAATTTTGGGGTGCAATCGAATCAATCGCGCCGACGAAGCCGATCCACAATCGATCTGATTGGTTGAATTTCATTGAGAAATGGGTTTTGATTGGCTAATAATTTTGAGCTCATCGGAGGTAGCCAATTAAATCGATTTAAATTCCAACGAGAAACCACACCACAATGAAATTTCACTCGAAAGCACAATAGTATTTATCTTTATTCCTCAATTCTTGGTAGGTTGAACTGCCTGCCGCTGCAATCCGATGCCATCGAAGCGCGTACAGTGCACGCTGAGTTTGTGTCGATGGTAGAAAATGCCAACATGGACCTCCTGGGCGACAACTTTGCCAATTTGCCGCTCGTGCTCAAGAAATTCGCGGAAATTCTGGCCCTAGACTTGGACGAAGAGTTTGACCCGGTGCTGGACGACGACACGAAGGCGCGACTCGCGACGGTGTTGCGCCATATTCAGACTTCGTTTCCACCGGAAGCCGTGCAAGCAGCGTGGACGACCTTGTCTGACGAAGACCAGCAAGTGTTTTCTACGTTGCAATGACAAGCTAAAAGTTAAATTCGGGGCTGGCTACTATAGGACTAGTATTGTGTAGTAGTTAGTGGACGTCCTGAATTGAGACGAGGATTTACAGTATTCAGGTACTATTGTTCATTCGATTCGAAATTGGAGTTCAATCCGCACCTAATCGGCAGAGAATCGATCGATATATCGACCAATCAAAACACAAAACATGAATCAACTACCCAATCAAAGCCACTTTTCGAAGAATAATTCAACATCGAATTCGTGTGTGATTGAAATTAGTGTGACACTGGACGATCTTTATATAGAATCGATCGATAGATTTGGCATAGAATCCGCACAATAGTCCAAATATTTTGGGTAAAAGGACAATACTAGTAGTAGTAAATGTATTAATAGTACAACATACGCTGTGGACTACTAAATAAATTCGAGTATGAAACGACGATGGGGGTATGTACACGGGATGGGTACACTAGTAAGAACTAGTATGTATAGGAGGAACCTATGAACTCCATAGCTACAAAATCACATACTACGAAGCAGCGATGGTATACTGTACTGTATATACCTAGATCCATCATGAATGTCTTAGCTTTCATGCGCCTTGAATTACGATTTGGCGATTTGGCGATGGCCGGCAATAAAGCAATACCTTGCCCTCCTGTGGTATTGCGAACATTTTAGCATTGCAAAGTCCTAGAGATTCATTGTGTCGACAGCCATCATCGGGTACATTTTGCAATGCCAACCAGCGATCTTCAATACATATTATCGTACAACAATTTTTATTGCCCCATACTATTCGATACGTATCGAGGTACTATATGTACTTCGCATTCGATTTCGATATAAGTATCTTGCACATGACTTTTCGACTAGCGAGACATTTGTTACATTTCTAACTGTAAATTTATCGTTAGGTAACGTCAATACGATACGATGTCGATACACGACAAAAGAAAACGATACTAGGATATTATTGTGAATTCGCTATAACTTGCAAAATTCGCCTGGTTTGTCAAATCAATATTGAATCACGCTGGACGAGTTCTGATTGGTTGAATATGCTTTCCTTTCTATAAGAGCCAATCAAATTGATCCAAAAATGGATTAGCCAATAGCGTCGATTCGTGATTCGATTCGTCGGCGAGATTTTTCGATCCACGGGGTCTGGAAATTCGTACTCTGAATCTTCGAACAAGATTTCCCAATCGATGTACTTACTGCACCTTTTTCCACTGTACTACTTCAAATCCAGACTATAAATTTGCGCATGGCGAGGTTGCTCCGTCGTGCCGTTTCGTCTTTGATTCGTTTAACGACAATACGATCGGCGCCTTTCATTGGTTGGTTTCAATCGTGTGAACCGTCGCGTACTGAAGTCCTAGTAGTGGTCGTATTATTGTTCTTCCAACCACTGCAGGAAACACAAATCGAGTCACGTCGTTGCTTGGCGAAGCATGTTCCTCGAGAGCATTGCGGCGAATTTGGTCAACAAATTCTGTCGTCGATTCGTAAAAGACTTCAAAAAGGAGGTTCGTGGACTTCATTTTCAAATGGGCATGGGGTTGAGAGGTGGTGTGTAGAACTTGTCATTCAGTTTATCGGGCGAAGTCGTGTTGACCCAATTCGAACTCAACACGGACGAGATCAAGCAGCTACAGTTGCCAGTGGAACTCAAGAGCTTTTGCGTCGGCAAACTACGCCTGCGCGTGCCGCTGGCGCACCTCACGACCCAGTCGGCCGAGGTGGCAACCAACTCACATCTTGTACAGTACCTCTGGACTAATCATGTGCTGGCTTACCTTGTAGATCGAGTTGATCGATGTCAGTGTATTGTTGGGCACTCCCCGGGAGCCAAAGTGGGACCTCGACTCGTTGTACGTGGCGGAGCAGTCTAAGATCTTCCTCATGACATTACTCTTGGATCACTTCGCCGCCGACTCTACTACCCCCTCGACCCCATCGTCTTCGTCTGTCCACCATACTAACAACCAACCCCCTCGAGGAGGCGCCATCCCCCAAGGGGGCCCTTTGACTCCGTCCCTTGTCGCGCTGATTCAAAACAGCCATATCATCATTGAACGCATCCACGTTCGATTTGAAGACGGACTGACCAGTGACCACGTGGTCGACGTAGACTCTGCCACGTCATCATCGTCGTCATATGCTCTGGGCGTGACCTTGGCCAGCCTCGTCGTGCCTCCATCCACGCCATCGACTTCCACTTTCGCCCACGACAAAAAGCTGTCGCTGACTCAATTGAGCATCTATTTGAAATCCGACGATCGCTTTGAAGACATGTCGCCCGACGAGAGGGCGATAGCGTTTCGCGCGCCGTTTGAACGGGACGGCACCAAGACGTCGCCCCTTGGAACTATTAGTACTACTAGTGCGTCTACTACAAGCCCCTCCAAGCACCCCCCTCCCTTGGCGGTGTTGGAACCACTGTCGTTGGACGTGCGAGTCCAAATGAATTTGGTGCCAGTCATCCAACTCGCCGTCCAGATGCATGTACCGCTAGTGCATGTGAACATGGCGCCATCGCATTACCAGTACCTGGATGCGTTTCTTACCCATGTGGATCGGTTTGATCGATTCAGCCTCTACCGCCGATTCCGCCCTGTCCAATCCACCCCCCTCTTGACGGGGGAAGCCAAGCGAGCAACCAACTGGAAGGACTGGTGGCGCTATGCCATTGTGGCCGTGATGATGGATTTGAACGACCCCGTGCGCCGCAAGCCCACATGGCGGTCGACGCTCAACCTCGTGCTCGTGGGGCTCCAGTACACAGCCCTACGCCGCCAAATCACGCCGTTTTTGATCCGGCAAACCACGGGCACTGCGTACGTTACGTTTTGTAGGGTTGGTTTATTGCATTGGAATGTGTATCGACGACTTGGTCGGGTACTTTGGGGAGGGGCATTGGGTTGGTGCTCCGACATATTGGCTTGTGAGGGGGGTGTACATCATACAGTATGGCTTTGTACATTTGAGTGTGTGTAGGTAGGTAGGTAAATATATATATAAGGGGGTTGTGTCGATTGGATACCCCTAGAAAATCTACTTGTCAACCTTGACGTAGAGACCACCACTTTTTGCAGTACCGCGAAGACTTCAAAGGCAACGACAGCGACGCGCGGGCTCCGTTTGATCGATCTCTGACGTTGGCGTCAGGTACCAATATTACTATTACTAGTACTACTAGTACTACTAGTACTACTAGTACTACTAGTACTCGTTTAGTCAGATGAACTAACCCCGTTGTCTACAACTCCTCACCTCAAACGATATGAATGGTAGAACCTGTGCCAAAGCACGTCACACATTTTGGCGATGGCATCTTTGCGGGCGTGTACGGGTTGTATCGTTGCTTTCCCCGGCATACCCCTGGATCGAAACCCATCGACACGGTACACTAACTTACTGAAGTTCGATACGTTTCATCTTTTTGGCATGTTCAATGATTATAATTCTCATATTGATATTTGTGAGCGTAGGCTGAAAGCATTGCTCTGCGTCCTACAGAACCAGTGCACCAACCCAAAGAAGACAATGCAAGCGCGGCGGCACAGGCCAAGAAATTGTGGCATCGGCAGCTGTGCATCGACGCCAGCTTCCGCCCGATAATTGTGGCCAAGCTGCGCGCGCTGGCGGTGCGGCAACTCGCCCTCCAGGACCACAAGACGGTGGTCACAACCAAGCTGCACAACGCGATCAAAGGCAGGTTGACGCTGACTGTTGTGGGAGTTTATGGCATTCCAAAGCCCATGGTCCTGTTTTGCAAAGTCAAGGTACGCTAGTGTTGATTGGTATATATTATATACACTATATATGCATGTGTGTGTTTTTGCTTCTATTCTTGATATATACTACTATATATATCTATTGATTGATTGTACTTGAGTAAGCCCACGTCCTACCGATTATTATTACTACTATTACTACTACGTAGTAACGTTAGTATGGGCTTAGAAATGAAAGAGGAAGTGGTAGCAAACACAAGTGATTGTTCAATTATGTCTATGTTTTGTAGTGTACGCAAGTGTTGATATATATATATATATATATATATATAATATACGTTCGAGTGTATGTTTTCGCATATAAAGAATGTAAATATATAGTACATTTAACAGTGCAATTCCAAATCCTCACAATGACTACGCAGTACGTACCGTACGTGAACATGGAACTGGAGTTGCAACAGCACTGTTATGTACTTGGAAGTATATATTTACCTACTTTATATCAACAATAGGCAAACACGCACACTCGTACATATTTTATATGTATATCAACACTTCGTACTCACCACCACTAGAGTGCGTCCTCATGTTGTGTTGGTGGCGGTTCTATATATGTACTGTAGGTGGGCCACAAGGGCACGCCGTACACGGGCGACTTGGTGCACTGCGAGCGCTCGTCGTCAGACTCTAATTTCGACGCATTAGTTGCCCAGTCGTTCGAGTTCAAGGTCCAAGGCACCCCGAACGAAGACATTTTGCACCTGAATTTGTTTGATCGGTGGCCCATGTTCAACCAATTCGTGGGCAAACTTCGCCTTCCGTTGCCGGCGCTGACACGTAAAAGGTACAATTGTATATGCCACCCAAATTTGGACTTGTGAGTCGATTCGCCAAATAGCATTCGAATCCATTCTTTGATTCAATTTAAGCTCGTACACACTATACTTTACAAACATGTGTATGTATATCTGTGGTTTTGCCCAATGCGGATGGATTGGTAGAAATTTGAACAGAACGAATGATTTGATTGGCGTAGGCGGTTCTTTATTCCATTTTCTTTAGACATTTGATTCTTCTGAGGATCGATTTTCGAGTTTATTATAATTGGGAGTTTCGGGATTTGGGGGGTTGGATGTTGTCCAATAATACTGTAGTGCGTGGTATTTTGTCATACTTTATCGTTTAAATATGCTGGAAAGTCACTGGAAAGTGTACTAAGTTTTTTCACTACTGTGTCGCAGATATCAACAAGTGCTGGAGTTATGTATTATTGTATTCTAGTTACACCGATCAAATGGTGGCCGTGGAAGCTGCCGACAACAAGGCCCATCATCGCATGCAACTGCATGTGCTCAGCGTGTTTGTGCCCGACGAGGCATCGTCTCCGAAACCCAAAGTTGGTATTGCTACAACGAGTACAACGACGTCACCAACGGCCATCGACGAGCATACCGCCGCAACATTTGCCAACTCTACAGCCATGATGCAAGCCCTGTACCCGGCTTTGTTTGCGTGCAAACCCCATTCGATGCAGTCATGGTACTGATTAGCGTCATGTGGCCCCCTACTAATCGCGTGTATGTGTTTACTGTTTTGAATAGGTACTCCAACAAAGCAAAACCAAGCGTGCAATCTCTGACAATTGACGCCACTCTGGCCAAATTATACGTGGCGTTTGTCTTTCCTTCTGCGACCAACACATCACGTTATGCCTCTTCTGCCGTCCTTCCCATGGACCTTGCTTTGGATGACGTGGCACCCCCTTCTTCTGCCTCCGAAGACCAACTCGTGGTCCACTTGCAAGCAGTTCAGTACCGCCTCAATCTGGTGGTGCCTGCGCACTTGAAGCATGCGCTTGTGCTCGGGCGATTCGACATGCACCTCGAAACAACAACTTGCCGGCAATCGTCCTCGTCGGCTGCCACCGACGAAGTACATCACCCCCCTGCTCTTCGTTGCACCAAGACGCCGTTCTTTCAAGCCCCCCGTCGTATTCCCACCCAAAAACCTCAAGACCATGATGAACAATCGTTGCCCCCGTTCGCGTCCTTTGACCAAGTGATCGACTCCAATCAGCCAGTCCAGTCCAAACTCGTCACCCAGGACATCCAGGTGACAGTGGACGTCCCAGTTGTCCTGCGGAATATGAGGTTTGTGCTCGACAAGGTGCCGGAACGCACGGTGCTGTCGTCGCTGCTTGCCGCACCCGTGATTCAAGCTATGATGAAGCACATTCGTGGACGAGAGCGAAGTGGGGGGCAAAGCGAAGACTGTCCCCCCGTAGATTCGATGGCCGCGGGTGTTGCTCCCCCAGCCAAAGGTATTAGTAGGACTAGTGGGAATAGTAGTACTACTAGTACGATCCCCCCAACCGAAAACACGTCCGCCACCGGACCCACGAGCCCCCGGTTCCTCGGGTCGTGGAAATGGACGTCGCAGCGACCGGAAGCAGTCCCCTCGATGGTGTCTGGCCGCACCGCTACCGCCGGAGCGTTGCCCAACATTGTAGGAAAACAACTCACCAAAGATCGCAGCGGGGAATTCCATGCACATGTACGACCTCCTATCATGTTCACATAGCATATATATATACCATACTCGCTGTATACGAGTATATACTTACCCACGACCGACATATGACCCCTCGTCGAGAAAACACGACATGTTAAATACGCGTAACATGATTTGAACCTGTTTGGTTGAGGTAGATTGAGTTGGGTGCCGTGTACATTGCCGTAGCCGGCGCTGCATCGTCCCCCCCGCAACACGACAACAACGAAGTACGACATGCTCATTATAAAGCCAATCAACTACACTTTTGAATTTGCCATCTCCGGCGTAATACATATAATCATGCTTAGGACGAAAGCAACAGCCAAACTTCCAACCCTCCGAATTACTCACCATTGAACGTGCTGGAGGCGGTCATCCCAAGTTCGAGTCTGCACGTGGTGGGGGGCAAAGGGCTTCCCATCGAAGTCAAGTCAGGGACGTCCGCCACAGTCTTTACGACAGAGCACGATATGTCGTGGGTACTGGCGCAGCTGGCTCGCATCCGTCGTGTGGCCAAGCGGCAGCTCACCGTCGACGCGCGGCCGTTTTACGTATGTGGTTAATGTTGAGCTCGAAGTTGTTCGTTATTTGCGAATTTTTCGTGATTCATGGTGATTTGTTTTGACTTTTTGACTAGGACAACCCGACTGTGACTAGTCGGGGTAAAATCGACCGATTCGAGAATGAAATCCACGCATTGGAGCGACAACTCGCCCACTTCCGCATGCTCATTCGTCAAGTGGTCGCCGCGCCCCAGACGTACGGCATCAACTCGGTCGACTGCGACTCGCTGCGCCTCATGGTTGGATATGTGCCCATAGATTGTGTGTGTGTTGGTTGATTTCTCCTGTGTCATACTAGTGTGGATTGAGTTGTCCATTTAAGCAGGATTTACACGTACTCGAGTGAAAAATCTATAATATTGGATATAGTTGATTTCGCTTGACTATATATATATTAATATATATATAATGATATATATATTAATATATATATTAATATATATATAATGATATATATATTAATATATATATTAATATATATATATATAATGATTTATATATTAATATATATAATGATATAATGATATATATATTGACGGGAGGCGTATTGGGTTTTGAACCAGGTGCGAGATATGCAGCCCAAGGTGATTGATACAACTCCTACCACGATCTCCAATGTCCAATTCGATGTGGTCCGGATGTTGTTAAAGCAAGGGATGACAGTACTCAAGCATAACGTCCGCAAAGGTGACCCGTCGTGGCGAGTGTTGTGGCTGCTCCCCCCTCCCGATAAGAACACCCCCACCACCACGGAATATCCAAGTAAATTGAACCGACCACCAGCAGCGCTTTGTTTGGCCAAGCCCCAGGACCGTAAAACCCCCAAAGGTCCGTCGAGTTTTGCAACATTGCGTCTACTGTATAAACAAGCAATGGGAGTTTCGTTAATGATTGGATTACTCTGGAGTGATATATATATATATTATTTATTGGGTATTGATATATATATTTGTGTAGTGCTCCCGCTATCGTCGATTGCAAACGTTGTGACGAACGTGATGACCCCAGCGTTGACGCGCACGGGCCATCCCCAGGCGTTGGATACGTACTTGGTGCTGCAAGTGGTGGACGAACTCAAACCGATCAGCCTCGAGTTTGCCAGCAACGACATTCGCGATCAAGTGGCAGTGACCTTGGCACGACTCTTGGCGGGACTCGAGTAGTAGTACTAGTATACGTATAGTACTAGTAGTACTCACCACGGCAGACACACGATCGTCCATGGAATACATGTGAATTCAAATGTACTGACTGTGAGTAGGATTTACAGTTAAAAACCGTTGACTGTACACCGTTAAACGAGCTGCTCGGTTTACAGATACTATTTCGAGGGGAAATACTAACCACGCGTGATGAGATACTAGTATCACCAAAAACAAGAGAAATGTTGACTAAGTACCGGTAGTTAGCATCAATAGTATATCGATAGAATGAGCCGTTTTGACAATTCCTGCACACTTTCCACGTTGTATTTTCCCGTGAATGTATACATGTTGCTCCTGTAATCAACACAACATAATTACATCGCCATGAAAAGCGTTAGCCCTACTAGTACAAGGCCGCCCAACGGAGGGGCAACCCACGACGGGGGAGCCGTCGATGGATTTGGCGATGGCGTCGTGGGCGTCCGCGTGCCATTGCCGCACGCCCCCCCGACGGAGCTGGCGAACGCGCCCATGTCGACCGGTCCGATGGAGCAGGGCGGGATCTGGCTGATTACGGGAATCAGCGGCTTACACTCGGAGGCAGCGCAAACGAGCGCTACGTTGGCATCGGTGAGGGGTGCAGTGGGGGGCATGAACGACACGTTGGTGGCAGTTTGGCACAGCGCGGCACTGGCCATCACTGGCGCAAACGCTTGGACGAATGCCGTGATGTTGCACGCTGGAGGCAAGTCCGCCGCGTCCACCGACGACAACGACTTCAAGAACAGGACGAGAACTGCAAGACACGAAGCGCCGTACATGGGTTCGCGTTGTACGGAGTACAGATATGTATGTATATGTAGCCCCGTTGAGTTGGATTTGGTGCGGCTATATTTGGACGAGCTATAAGTTACATTTCAATTACTACTCTACATAGTATGCAGCTTACACCAGGCTCTGAGGTGATTAACGTTAGCGTCGTTTGGGATTCTGAAACGAACGGTTACATTATTGGCTTCGAACTTCGTTTTGAAAGGTTCTTGATTGGTCACATCGAGCCTCGAAGTTCGTCCTAACCAGTCATATTCCAAATGTCTCACCATCACCGATAAGTGTCAAACTGGTAGAGTATAAATAAATAACCTGAACGATAAGCCCAGTGGTGAAAACTTTTTGTGCCCTTCCATCACCACCACCAGCAACTTCACATCATGGCGACCGCGAACATTTGGGTCGCTGCTAGCGACGGCAACATCGACGCCGTCACAGCCTACCTCCAAGGCGGCGCTTCTGTGAATGCACAGGACGAAAACGGCTACACACCACTGTACGTATCTCCCTATCATGCCAAACCATTTGTCCCTTCAAACAATTATCGTGTGTGAAGCCAAGCCGCGGTGAGCTACAACCACACTGAACTGGTGCAATACTTGCTGGCTGGTGGGGCGTCGGCTACGTTGAGCGACTTCGACAGCGAAACACCCTTGCACTTTTGTGAAAGCGTTGAGATCGCTCAGATATTGCTGGCCCGCGGCGCCGACATTAACGCCAAGAACGCTGACCTGCGCACGGTAAAAGTTGACATGCCAGTGGAATGGACCTGATATGGTGCATCCCTTGTGTGTATTATGTAGCCTCTGGACTCTGCCCTGGACGACGAAAACGAAGAGCTCGTGGCGTTCTACGAGGCCAACGGAGCTGTAAGCTCTGGCATTGTGTCGGAAGAATCGGCGTCGCTCGCGCAACTCCAAGCGATGATGGAAGCGCAGGAGAACGCCGACGGACACAACGCTGTCGATATGGATTAATATGTACTAGTAATTCTCCTGTTATGTTTGGAACACGCACATCTACGTTTGAATGATGGTGTTGAGGTAACATGTACAGAATGTGAGACCACTCAGCAAGAATCTGTCGACATGGTTGATTCAGGCTCATTATATCATTTTAGTATCATCGTGGTGAGTTTTGTGTCATGCATGCATCTCTTGTACGTCTTGCGGTTCTAGATTGTACTAGTAGTACTGTACTACGTATTAATAGTAGTAGTACGCACTATAGGAAGATAATCGAGTTGTGACCATTTGACACTGACAATGCAAAACGATGTTTGCGTGAGGACCAGTGATTCAGTACTGCAATTGGATTGGTCAGGATGATATAAAACCAGACTACTCTTTAGGGTTTAACTCATGCCCTAAATAAACGTCATTGCTGTAGTATTTACTACTCTTTAGGGTTTAACTCATGCTCTAAATTAACACCTTGGGTGATGTATACTATACGTACAGTACCGGTATAGATCTTCTTGCTGATAGTCCAGTGTACTGTACTCTACATCCAGACAAGCCCCGTGCTTACGCCATTGAAACTGCTCGTCCAAAGGGTCCAGGTTCAGACGCCTATAAACAGTCCACATGGTGACCTTTGAATATTATCCGGATGGCATAACACAAAGTTTACATGAAACAATCAGCCACACGCCATCAACGTGTGGCAGCGCTGTGCGAACCCATAACGACATTCTAGTAACTCGTGAAAGGAATACATTGATGGCAATGAAATGATTGCCACTTGATATAGTCTTCTTCCCCAAGTTCGGTAAGCATCACTGGTTCAATAAACATGTGAGTTGAGGTGTAACCAGATTTCCAGCTTAAAACCGGCCGTTTCAATTACTTCGGAGGGAGTGTCGTCATTTAACGAATTTAAAAATAAACTACGTTGTAAATAGAGATTTCAAGGTGATTTTATTAGGTTGTTATTTGGTTCGTCCTTTATCCGGATGATTCACTCAACAGCACCGAAGTAACGGTGGAGAGCTTTGTTGCAAAATACGTCGTGCGTCCGCGAGACGTTCATGGCGGGCAGCACGGCCGACGATGCGCTGGGCCGACGGCTGCGCCGCCAACTCGGATCGTACGCCCACGACAACAGCGGCGAGATGAGTACCACGGCCATCGGTCTCATTGCGAGTGTGAGTACGTTGGTGGTCCTCGCGCTGTTGTTCCTGGCATGTCGGCTGAGTTCGCGGTTGCAACAGCGGCACCACGCCCTGCTGCGGGAAGTTCGACGGATCCAAGCGACACGCGCCGTCATGGAACGAAGCAACCAGACTTCGTATCAGTTTGCGTACGACAACGTGAGCGGGGTCGCGGGTCAAGTGCAGCTTGCGCACGACGTGCGCTTCGACCCGTCGTTTGCCCACACCCGCATCCCGCATCACGAGCTTTACAACCTTCGTCTGGTACGTCCATGCATCCTATCTTCTTTGAGTGCGTAGCTACTCCTTTTAACCTTCCATGATGTATATACAGGTGGCGAAACGCTCGGGCACGGTGGTGTTCCAAGCTATCTTCAACAACATGGACATCGCCGTGAAGCAGTTGTTGCCGTCGCAGTGCAACTCGCTGTTGATCGTGACCGACTTCATGCGGGAGATCCGACTCGCGGCCACACTCGAGCACCCCAACATCGTCGGATTTATCGGGCTAGCGTGGACTGAAGGCGCGAGTCTCGCCGACCTGTCGCTGCTCACCGAGTTTATGCCCAACGGTACGCCCAGTGTGTTGCTGAACGATCTACGAATGCCTTGCTAACTTCTTGCTCAAATTATCCGGTTAATATGACCAGGGGATTTGACGGGTTTCTTGGCGTATGAAAACAAGACGCCAGTGGCCGACCGCCGCTTGCGGCCAACGTGGGAAGCAATGGTATGATGCTTGATCCTTGTCGAGTGTTGGAGGATGGTGAGCATGAGCAGCAGCAGCAGCGCACTGGTTCAGGAGAGCTTCCATCACACCCACGGTCCCCTAGCTTGTACCTCGACGAGCGACTAGACTTGAGGTGTTCGATGATGCCGAAGGAAAATGTATCTACCGCCGCATGGGCCGAGGCTCGCTGCTGCTGTTTCTGCTCTCTGCCTCGCTCATATCCCCCTACTCCTCTCTTTATCGACATGCTGACATTGTGAATGAAGAAAATCATCATGACAATGTGATTACATGTTCATGTAGACTCCGCTGGCTACCCCCATGAGTTCCATCCGCTCGACGTTGAGCGGACACTATCAATCGAGCCGCCATCGCATGCGCCGCGAACTGCTGGAACAAGGCACGTCCAAGGCCAGTCTCGCGGCCGAAGTAGCTGACGCACTGGCGTACTTGCACTCGTTTGAACCGACGGTAAGGACATCTAGGTCGTTAACACGAGGGAAAAGCTTTGGACTTGCCTAAGCTTTTCCCTCGCGATAGTGCCATGATCCTCCTATAGAAATGTTGTGTGCTTATACCAAGGTGGCCTAGTGGATGTGCTTATACTGAGGTTTTGTAACTGTCAGGTCATCCATCGCGACCTCAAGTCCAAGAACATCCTGCTGAGCCGCACGTGGAATGCGCGGTTGAATGACTTTGGCTACAGTCGGGTCACGAACCCGGACGACCTCATGACGATGAACGTCGGCACGATTGCGTGGATCGCGCCGGAAGTTCTCACGGGCGGCCGATACACGGAGCAAGCCGACATTTACAGCTTTGGGGTGCTCCTCTCGGAACTGGACACGCTGCAAGTCCCGTACATCGAACTCACGCGCGAGTACATTGACGAACACCACCACGAACTCTCGAGCGACTTGCATCACCCGAAGGTCAAGGCCAAGGCCAAGAGCCTCAGCAACGCGTACATTGCCATGTCTGTCGCGGAAGGAAGGCTGTCGCCGTCGTTCACCAACCTCATTCCCCACGAACTGCTTGTGCTGGCGCGGGAGTGCCTCTCCCATGCCCCACAGAACCGACCCACCGCCATTGAGCTATCGTACCGCCTGCGGTCGTTCATCCTCGGGGTGTAGAGTCCATGTGTCTGTAGACCTAACTTAATCCATGCCAATTTGTTTTTCATGGAAACTTTGGATAATTGAAGCATCCGGTTAAGGGATAAACAATCGAAGTTGCAATTTCTTCGACGTACATGTACACTTCGACTGGCTTTGTGCAACCGATCGTCAAGTTGCGAGGTCGCACATAATTTACATGGAAATGTGTGCAAGGGCGGGGGGATTCTTGCATACTACTAGTACTATGTAGTACTAGTATATGTATACCAGGTACATGGTGTGAACAACCAAGTATACCGTGTCGGATCCGACACACATCGTACTGCCTTATATACACACATACATAAACCCTTGTACATACACTGCACCATTGATCGGATTGTGAGTGTAGCATTGTAACGTTACGAAATTATTATCCTGCGATTTTTTACTACGTACTTCGTAGTACTGAATAGTTTAGATCAGTACTGCTAAGTTACACTGAGCTATTCCGTCGAATCAACACGATGTGCCAATTAATGACGAATAAATCTAAGCCAATCACTGATCCCTAAAATGGAAAAGCGCTAATCACAGAATAAACCTCTGAATATGTACTACTAACGCAAATGACCAATTTATGATCACTGTACCAATTTATGATCTCTCCGTATCAGCCAATCGCATCGCAATATTTTTTGGCGGCAAACCTCTCGTAAATTATACGCTCGAGTTTCAAATCCCAAACAAATCCCAATCACAGCTTTGATGGTGACTCAGCGCCGCATTCAATATACCCCTGCAGACCTGGAGCTTGCCATCGCCGAAGTCCTTCAAGGAAAGAACGGACGGGATGTTGCACGAACTTCTAAGATACCCTACATCACTGGTCATGCGAAAGGTTCGTGCCACGAAGGCTGGGGCCATTCAGCCCAACAAGCGGCGCGGACCAAAGCCGCTGCCATCGAAGTAGCAGTGATCTAGTCGTGAGAGTAGAATAATGTCAATGACGTACTCCGGAGTTCATACTTGCATCTTAAAATACCTTGTTCACTGTGTCACTTGTCTATCTGTTTGTCGTTATTGGAAATGCGATAGTTCAAGTACTTCTCTTTAAACGCATAACCTTGAAAAATAATATTTTACCTGTCAACAATACGTACCCTATTCGCACAATTTGTAAGCAAGTTGCCATACATAGTTCAAGCTTAAAAAAGGCATCATAAATTGGTCTCCAAAAAAAGAGTAAACTTGCTTGGAAAGTCTGACTTTTGTACCTGAACAATATCCTTAAAGGTGATATTATGATGATGAGGTTAAAGCAACATGTTTCGTTGTTAGCAATCACTTTACAGAATGTGAAAATTGTTCCTGAGACCGGAGATATGTGAATTCTTCGATGACGCCTTCGGAAAAGTGATTATAAATTGGTCATTTACGTTAGTAATAGTATACTCGTAGCCATACAATACCGACGGTTAATATAATACGTCAACAATTGGCACACCACTTTATAGAGGTATAGCATATATGAAGTGCTATATGCAGCTAAATTGTGCGAAATACATTGCAAATTGATAATTGGAGGATTACCCTGAAAATTGCCTAGGAATTATGGCCATTCTCCGAAAATTGTATTGCACTATATAATATACAAAAATAGAAAAAATAAACATTTGCAACAATCGGCATTCTACGTTACATAAAAACCCATTCGACAACAGTATCGTGGATATTTACCGTGCAGCTCGCAATACATGCATAAATTACCGATGTGTGGCCACACAAGTGTACTGTAGGAGTTTGAGCAGCAAAAAGTCTTTTACGTGAAAGCAAGCGGTCGTGTGCGAAATACAGAAATGCAGTACGGTGCCGTGATGATTCGTAGAATGGAGGCTCTATGCAAGCGCATAAGAGATACTAGTATGTGGTATTGACTTCAATACAAGACTTCTAGATCTATACACTTTACAGTGTATATTCTACCCGCCTCGCCTGGTCGACGCTTAAATGAAATCAATTGGCCAATCAAATCCAAGGCATTTAGTATTTTGACCAATCAATTTCTGTATGAATTCCAATGACAATACTACTAGATAGTACAACATGTTGTTTTGAGGGAATAGCTCGCTCGTTCTACAATCCAGCGAACACGAAGTTCGAAGATACGGTATCCGGAGGGCAGAGGATGTGTAATCCCGATCGAGTTGCGACCCACAATCAATCCTTGTGATGCGAAGCACGCACATCCTCCTGGCGCTGGCGTTGGCGGCGGTCACAGCGGCCCAGACGCCGACGACGACGTCCGCGCCGATCACTGCCGCATGTAACGATACGCTGTCAAACTTGAACAAAGCCGTGGCGGCGGCAAAGGGTTTGAACTGCAAGATCAACAACCCGGCTGCGTTTTGCACGACGGACGTGTGCAGCAACATCCACCGCATGGGAAAGATCGCCGTGGAGAGTGGGTGTGGCAAACAATCGCTGTCCGACGTCAAGTACACGTTCCCCAAGATGTGCGACGCCGACGACAAGTGCAGCAAGCTCGTGACCCAGATGACCACGAACCTTCAGAACTGCATCGAAGACCCCCGGAAGGTCGGGACGTCGGCCAGCTGCCAGCCGTGCCGCACGCTCAACGACACGACGTTCCGGACGTCTCTCACGTCGATCTGCGGGTACGAGCAAGCCGCGTTCGATTTTGTGCTCACGGACGAAGGGCTGGTCAACTCGTTCGCTCAGTGCGAGTCACTGAAGACGGACAAGGTGGCCAAGGACAACGCCGCGGCGGCCGACACGGGCAGCAACTCGACGGTGTTTGTGATCATCGGGATCGCGTGCGCGATTCTCATCATCCTCGGGGCCGTGATCTACAAGTTGAAGCTCAAGAACGACATTGCCAAGCGCAACTTTGACTACATCAACAACGACAGCCACACAATCAACAACAATGGCCAAGACTATGGCCACAACGACAAGTACACGGGCCCTGAAGTCGGGCGCATCGCGAACGACATCCGGTTCGACGAAGAGCTCGCGCAGTTTCGCATCCCTCAGAACGAGATCCAAAACGTGAGCTTGCTCGTCAAGGGCGGGTACGGCGTCGTGTTTCACGCGACGTTTGGCAGAGATGACGTTGCGATGAAGCAGTTGTTGCCGTCGAAGTCCAAGGACTTCGACGCGATCCAAGAGTTTATGAACGAGATCCGGCTCTGCGCGCGCCTTGAGCATCCCAAGATCGTCAAGTTTATAGGCATCGCGTGGTCGACGCTGCACGACTTGGCCGTGCTGAGCGAGTTTATGCCTCGGGGTGACGTCAGTTCGTTGTTGAAGAAGGAGGGCAAGAAGCACGAGTCGCATCGGGTGTTGCACTGGCACACATCACCCTCGTCATCGATTACCAAGACGCAAATCGCCGCCGATGTCGCAGATGCATTGGTGTACCTACATTCGTTCCAACCGACCATCATTCACCGCGACCTCAAGTCGAAAAACGTGCTGTTGAGTGACACGTGGGAAGCCAAGCTGAGCGACTTTGGCATTAGTCGCGTGACCAGTTTAGACGACACCATGACAAGCAACGTCGGCACCGTGGCGTGGATCGCTCCCGAAGTCCTCACGGGCGGCCGATACACGGAGAAGGCCGACATCTACTCGTTCGGAGTCCTCCTCAGCGAACTCGACACGACCGATGCGCCGTACGCGAACCTCATGAACAAGTCCAAGGACGCCGCCTTCTCGAACGCCCGCATCGCGCTCATGGTGTCCGAAGGTACCCTCAAGCCAGACTTCACCAACCGCATGCCTGAAGGCCTGCTCACGTTGGCCTTGGAATGCCTCGCCTTTGACGAAGCCGACCGCCCCACCGCCATGGCCCTCTCATACAAGATCCACACCATCGCCAAGTCCCTCTAAGCTAATACTACTACTACTACTACTACTGTACGACGATACCTTTAAATATATTAATAGTACTATGCCACAATGTGATCCATTTTGTGTTTTTACAGTTAATCCAGGAAGTGGGGGGGCTGTTTTCATTTTTTTATTCTTTTTTTATACTAGTACTAGTATACATTATAAACTAGTATACATTATATACAACTTATATTCTTGATAAATTTGAATTAGAGCAATGGAATATAATTATCTGGATGACCTAAAGTACATATTTGGATAATACTTGAAGAAATATACTACTAGTAGTATTAATAGTACTACGTATTTGTGCAAAAATAGAAAAAAACATTGAAACAATTAAGCCAAATAAAACCTATAATATAAAAATAAGCATATACTGTAAGCATGACAACCAATGCTACTAATAATATTAATAGTATACGTACGACGACGAATAAACCAGAGTACACGTCGACCAGTGAGAGCCAATTTGAACGACGACGACGAATAAACCAGTGTACACGTCGACCAGTTAGAGCCAATGTGGTGGCTTCGGTATGTAGGTAGTACTAGTATGTCGGGGTTACAGCTGTATGCGAGCACCGCAAGTCGCCGCTTTGTAAAACGTGTGAAGGTTTCTTGTGTATGTACACCCTTTGTGTTGTGCGGTGGCCTTGGGATGTCACGACGACTGTGGACCTGACTCGGGGTGTGTGGAGCTGGATGCAACGATATGCGGCGGCATTCCGAAGGTCACCTTCGGTGATGGGAAGGACGAAGGAAGGGCCAACCCGCCATAGCTTTACGGTAGCGATACACGTGTCTGTCTGGCGGGCGACCTTCCGCCGACGTGGCAGCATGCCTCCTCCCTCCACACAACTTTTACTTTGGTTGGCTGCCTGTCCCATCTATACTGCGATTCATTGCCTATATCCCCAACCATTCAGTGTTTAAACAGGATTATGGATCTAAGCGCCATACAAAATGCCGAATTTAGTCTGTAAATTCGGACATTTCATGAATGTTACAAATTATGCCGATTTGAATCGGATTGAGCGGGGCACTCAAGTGACAACGTTCGATCGGACTCGAATGATCCAGCGGGACTGGATCCATTACATCTTTATGAAGGTCCTGCACTTCCCAGCGGCACTTCTGGCGCTTCTGCTGCTTCCTCATGCACATGCAGACTGCAACGACAGCATGCGATCTGCCTACCTGCAGCAGCGCTCGCTGTGCGTCGCAACGTCCAAGCTCCCGCATGTAGATCCTGCCGTCTACTGCCAGGTCCCATCCTGCCGCGATGCACTCGGTCTCTTGGAAGGCCTCACACCAACTTGCACCGGTAGTCTTGCCGCCACAGACCTCCCCATGGTACATTTACCATTTCCTGTTCGATCTCATCATGGGATGTGTCGTAGATCGATCTCGGCGGCGCCAATACTTCAACGAGTCTACCCATTGGAGCGGCATTCTGTCGGCAGGAATGCACAGACGTGTATCGTCAGATGCAATCTGCATCAACCTCGTGTCAAGCCAACGGCAAGCCGTCCTTGGCGTCGTGCCAGGGGTGCCAGCGCTACCTCCGCCTCATCCCTTCCGTCGTCGGAGCGTGCCACATCAACGCCACCACTGCGCCAGGTATCCTCAAAGCTACCGTGGACCGCGAAATGCCTCAATGCGATGCCATCGTCCGCAGCAACAGTAGAAATGGTATGTACTCCATCGTCACCACCGTCGTCACCATCATCCACAGCGACCGACGCCACGTCCAAGTCTTCCATCTCTCTGTTTCTCATCGCCGGACTGGTCGGTGGCATCCTCGTGCTCGTCCTCGCGCTGGTCATTCAGAAACGTCGACACCGGCTCTTGCATGTGTTTCACCATCTCACGTTTCGGTAAAAGATTGTAGAGACCTGTTAATGTAGACTGCGAAGTATACTACCAATGTATATATATATATGTTGTGAATGGCATATACAAGTATATATATATATAGATTGTTGTGAATGGCATATACAAGTATATATATATATATCGAATACATATGGTTATATATATACTACTCCGTACTACGTAGTATTGTGTGTTCTACTCATAATTTCCTCCGGCGGTTGGCCGAAACAATCGCCGAACCTTCGAAATTTCATATAAAACTAAGTTGAAGAGGTATCTTTGTGACTGCAATGCTTCAATC